GCCCTTCTTTGGGATGGGAACAAATATTGACCTCTTCCAGTCAGTTGGCCAAGTGGTTGTTCTCCAGATTTCTTGGCACAACTTGGTGAGCATATCCACGGCAGCATCTATTAGCTAACTCTTCACCCCATACTTAAAACTTACGGCTTTCAGATGAAGTGAACTTGTATGACTGGACCTGAGATGCTAACAAAGGCAGACAGAGTACGCTCACCCGGCAGGGTGGTCATTTAGGCTGCTGGTCAGTGTTCATCTCCTCCTGCCGTTAAGAGACGGGAGGGTGGCCATGCTGGTCCCTGGTGGTGGCCTCGTGTCACTGTGAGGCCAGTGCTGGGTCTACAGACAGTGCTGCTGTATGAGGCATGGCCTCTGTGTGACCAGGCCATGGTCACACTGACCACCACATATGGCTGGTGTGATACACAGAATGTCAGTTGGAGTCACCTGGGTGACCTATCACAGCAGCGTACCAGCCATGTGCTGCTGGACCTGGCCCTGTGCACAGGGACGTGGAAGGGACTTTGCCACAACCTATCTGGCTTCAGAGGTAGGGTGTCAGCCTGAAATGTCCCTATTGGGGGCCAGACCTGGAGATGCTGAGGAGTGAGGCGCAGGGCAGTGGGGCTTGGGTCTACAGCTGTCAGAAGTATTTCAGCAGCCCTCTCGGCTGTCCTAGGCGGCCCTATGTTCATTCTGCAAACATCCTCTGCGTACTCTCACCCCAAACCCCTTGGGCTGTCAGTGGGACCTCCGCCCAGTCCAGTGTCTCCCTCACAGCAGACGTGGTCACAACACCGACGTCTGGAGACCTTTTTTTGGAAGTAGACTTTATCTCCACGGCTTTTGGAACAAGATGTCTTCAAGGAGGGGAAAGCGCTTTGGCAGGCCCTTTTCATATGCAGGGAAAGCCCCAATCCTATTCTTTGGCGCAGTGAGACCTGATCACTGCTGCCTGGATCAGGCACCTCAGCCCTTAAACCCTGTTGTCCAGACCCTCCGTAATCTGAAGAAAGATCTGGCTCTTGACTGGCCCCTGGGAGATGACCTCAGAGCTCTTGGAAAAGCGTGCCTGCTAAGTGTCTTTGCTTACCAGAGGCCATGCCAGAGAGGATAACACGGTGCCTTACGGTGGGGCCTTCAGGCCACATGCACTCAGCTTGAACTCTGAAGGGCCTGGAGAATGAGCGGTCCTGAGAGTGGTCAGACACGCTGATGTAACTGACCTGGACCTCAGACCTCATTCAGGGCTCGGCTGAGCTGCCCAGGCCTGGCAACAGTCCATGTGTGCGGTCACACATCGTGGCTGAGAGAATTCAGCACCAGCTGCTGGGAGAGGGCACCTGGGAGCTTCCTCCTGGTCTCCCCTGGACTCCACGCCATACACCTGTCCCCTCGGTTGATTGAGGGCTGTGCCTTTTGGCTGTAATACATTCTGAGTATAATGGCTTTTTCTCAGTTCTGTGACTGGTTCCAGGGAATCGTGGAGTTTGGGGGTGGTCTTGGAAACCCCTGAACTCAGGTCTCCAGAATCACAGCAGCTGGATTACAGAAGCATTATGAACCAGAATGTGGGTGCTACTGTCACACCCATGGTACAGAAGAGGGAACGGAGGTAGACAGGATTATAAGCCCGATACTCAAGATTCTGGTGAATCAACCAACAAACACAGACGTAGGGATGTTGTGAAGACACTGTGCAGATGGACTTAAGATCCTGTCCACTGATCTGAAGACACAGAGATTATCCAGGTGGGTTTGATGTCAGGCAAGCCCTTTAAAAGCAGAATTTTCTCCAGTTGATGGTGTGTGTGTGTGTGTGTGGTCAAAGAAGGGACCACTGCAAGTCTGATGACGGAGGGGACCATGAGCAAGGATTTAAAAGCAGGGGAGACGCTAGGAGCCGAGAGCCACCATTGAGGACTTGGGGACCTCAGCCTTCCAACTGTTGGGGACTGAGTTCTGCCAATAACCTGATCTTTGGAGGAGATTCTTATATGGGTACGTTTCAAGTCCTAACCCCTGCTACCTGTAGACGTGTCCTTGTGTGAACACGAGGGCACTGCAGACGTAAGTAATTAAGATAAAGTCACTAAGACAGGCCCTGATTCAGTGGTACTGGTTTCCCTATAAGAGGAGGAAGAGGCACAGGAGGAGGACCGTCCCTTAATGACAGCAGCCCCTTGAAGTTTCAAGTGGCCAGGGGATCAAAGGCTATGGCTACCAGAAGCTAGGAGAGACTCGGAGGGACGCTTGAGAGCCTTCAGAGAGAGCTCAGTCGCCGAGCTGGCTGACCCTCAGTGACCTCTAGTTACAACAGTTAAACACGCCTCGACCTGGCACCATCCGCCCGAGCCCACTGTTCCTACATCCTCTGCGGTGATTGTATCTTGATGATCTCCCTCTTTTCTGATGACCTTCCACGCTGTTAAGAAGCTCTCGTGGCAGAGTGCATAACACTGTAAGGCTGGTAGTTTTAATCCACCAACTGCACCAAAGGAGAAAGATGGCCAGTCCCCTCTCATAAAGATGTATAGCTTTGGAAGTCCAAGAAGAGGGCTGCTGTGAGTTGGAAATACCTTGATGGCAGTGCGTTTTTTGGGTTTATTTTGGTCTTGTTCTACTCTACTAAGCATGATGTCTTTCTCCAGGTACCAGCACCTTCTGGTTTTTCTGTGCCATCAAGTCACCTGTGACTCAGCGACCCCTATGTACGGCGGCTCTGAAGCCTGCCCTGTCCTGCACCAGTCTCCCTGACTCCAACACACCTACCTCCATTTCTCTAGTTACTCTAGTTATCTCATCCAGGGTCTTCCTCCCCTGTGCTGTCTCTCTACCCTTCTAAGCATGATGTCCTTCTCCAAGGATCGGCCCCTCCTGGCCACATGCCCAAAGAATGTGAGAAAGAACTTCAAAATCCTAGCCTCCAAGGAGGAACTTGGTTTCATCTTCACCAAGATAGACCTATTTGTTTTCTTGGCACTCCATGGCATGTTCAAGACTCTTCTCTGGCACCACAACTCAAAGGCATCAATTCTTTTTCTGCAAACCTTAGTCACTGTAAGTAATTGCAAGTAATTGTGAAGACCATGGCCTGGGTCAGGTGCACCTTAGTTTTTAGCCTGACATCGCTGATTCTCAGTCCTCTGGAGAGGTCTCTGACAGCAGATTTTCCCAGTGCAATTCAGTTTTTGATTTCCTGACTGCTGGTACCAAGAGTGTTGATTATGGAGCGGAGGAAGCTGTAATTGTTAATAATTTCAATCTCTTTCCCATCCATAATGGTGCTGCCAAATGGCCCAGTGGTGAGAATTTTTGTCTTCTTGACGTTGAGCTTCAATTCATATTGAAGACTACAGGCTTGACCTTCTGCAGGAAGCACTTCAAGGTCCTCCTCAGTTTCACCAAGCCAGGTTGTGTCATCAACTGCATAACATAGGTTGTTGGTGAATCTTCCTCTAATCCTAATACCACATTCCTCTTCATAAAGTCCAGCCTCTTGAATGATCTGTTCTTCATACAGATTGAAAAGTAATGGAGACAGGATGCACTCCCTTCGTGATTGTGAACCCTGCTCGGTTCTGAGGACTGCTTCCTGGTCCAAGCATAGGTTTCACATAAGCATAATCAAGGTTCTGGGATTGACATTCTCCTCAAGGTTAACCACAATTTGTTGTGATCCACAGTCAAATGCTTTTGCATAGTCAGTGAACACAGATAACCCTCTGGTAATCTTTGCTTTCTACCAAGAGCCCTCCGACACTGGCTATAATGTCTCGAGTGCCGTAACCTCTTCTCAAGCCCAGCTTGTATTTCTGATAGTTCTCTGTCGATCCAGTCATTTCTGGATAATCTTCAGCAGGATTTTGTTTGCATGTGATATGAGTGATATTGTCTGATAATTTCCACACTCTGCTGGGTCACCTTTTTTTGGAATGGGAATAAATATGGATCTCCTCCAGTCAGTTGGCCAGGTGGTTGCCCTCCAGATTTCTTGGCACAACCTGGCTCCTTCTGGCAGTATGTCCAAAATATGTGAGATGCAGTCTTGCCGATTCAGACCCTGGAGACAACCTGAATTCCACAGATGGTAGAATGTTAGGTGCTGCCAGGTCAATCAAGAGTTGGCTTCAAGTCATAGTAACCCGATGAACAGCAGTAGGAAGCAATGCCTCATCCTGGCCCGTGCCTGCGATCCCTGATGTGCATCCTGGTTGCACTTTCTCCAAAATATAGTTACTTATTCTTTAGGCAGTTCATGCTACAGTCAATACTTCTCTCCAGAGCATCAGAGTTCAAAGGCATTCATTCTTCATCAGTTTTCCTTATGCTTTTTCTTTCACATACATATGCATGAGAGAACACGTTGTTTAAGCACCCCGTTCCTGCTCCGTTGTTTTGGCCAGTCTAGGAAATGAATACACCAGAAGCCACCTTGAGTGTGGGCTTGTACAATCCTGGCCAGAGAAGACAGGACTTCTGACCTATAGGCAAAACTGTGAACTAATCAAGAATTAAAATACTGGGTTTGTGATAATTTGCTTCACAGCATAGATGACTAATACAAGAACTGAGACGTGGAGAGGGAGGTGGTTTCTTCGAGGGGAGGGCGGGTGGGAAGTGGAACCAGTGGAAGGTGATTCTCTTGACTTGATGACAAGGACACTGGCGCTTACCACCATCTTCCTGACCTGGCTGATGTGGGACCAGGACAAAGGAAACCAGCTGCTGCCAGCTTGATGGGGAAGATCGGGCAGGCAGAGCAACAAGGTGGCCAGAACCTGGGCCCAGGAAGCAACACTCATGGTGTCACTCTGCCAGTCTGGGTTGCTTGCCTTCAACTTGTGTAAGAAAGATAATTCCACCATGTGCCACTTCTGAGGCCTCCTGTGTTTCAACCTTTCTTTTTGTTGTTTATTTGGGGCTGCAGGGAATCCATCCGCACTCACAGTTTCTTCAGTTACTCCATGCTGGGGTTTTAACGGTGGCTGGGCATGCTGGGTCTGTTCCTGGCATCTCAGGGTGGCACTAGGTCATTGTGAGGTGGCCTTTTCCCATCAAGCTGGTGTGCTATGGGCTTAATGGGGGTAGAATTATAGCGAGGTCCCTGATGGTAAAGGACAGGACCACCACTAGCTCCCTGGCCCAGACATTCGTTCTCTTTGAGTTTGGCTGTCATTAGTTTATTACAAAAGAGAGACACAGAGATTATTCACATGCTGGAAGATTTCAGAACTTCAGTGGAATGGGCAGCTCCACGTGATGCAGTTTCAATCGAGATTTATTTCCGTTTATGTACTTCCCAAGAACGTCACCCTCTCTAAATAAGAAATAATCCTTGTTGTCTATAACTACTCTGGTGCCTCCACATTCCGGGAGAAGATCTTTCTCTCCAACTTTCCCACTAACTGATCCAATCTCTCCATCTTTTCCTTCACATCTGGATCCAACAGCTTCTACTGCTGCTTGCAATAATTTTCCTTGATGTTTTTCTGGAAATGTAATGCCTCCTTTAATTCCAGTTTCAGCTGCACTGCTTTCCACCAATACTCGGTCAAAGAGAGGGAAAAAACTTTCTAAGGGCCTGACCTGCCATCACTCTGGCCGTTGCAGCTTGCACCCCACTCCCGCCACGTTGCTGCTGATAAGAGATGCGCAGCCTGGTCCTGGAGACTTGGAGGATGTGGGAAAAGGCCCTTGTGAGCATGCGTGTCCCTGCCCCGCTGGGGAGGGCGGATGCAGCTGCCTGGCCCAGGTAGGCACTCTTGAGAACAGTGCTGTCTTGTCACCACCTTGACCTTGGTGCTTTCAACCTTAGGGCGAGCTCTGGAGTAGTCTGTAGGAAGCTGTGCTGCTAAACCCAAAGACGGTACCACTCTGGGGGTTTGAATCCTCCAGTGGTTAGAAGCCAGCTGAGAAATCTATTCTTATGCAATTTACAGCTTCTGAAAACCTGCTGTGGGTCAGTCATGACTCAATGAATCAGGAGATGAGGCAATGAGAGAGAGGGAGACAGAGGGAGGTCCTAACTTTGTTGTGTGTGCTGCTTCTGCATTCCTTTTTTTGGGGGGGGCTCCCTGCGCTGTTTGCAAACACCTTCCCCATGTCCTCTGGTCCTAAATCCACCTGCCCTTAACCTGCCTGCCCACACTGGCCTCCAGCAGTGGATGACTTGCTTCCCCTCCCAACCTCCCCCCAACTTTTTGAAGGGTCCCTGACACCTCCTCCCCTGGCCCTCAGGACCTGGGCTGACCGTGAGTCCTCGCAGCTCAGCTTGGCTCATGCCCATCCTGATGGTGCCTTTCCTAGTGGTCGCACCCAGGCCCATCTCTGTCTGCTGGACCATGTCAGCCCTCCACCAGCTCCTCTCCCCATTGCCTCCTGGCCGGTCCCCGCTTTCCCACTGTCACGAGTGTCAGACCTGCTGCTGGGCTTGCTGTCCTTGCCCTGCTCTTTCTGTCATCAGTTGCTAAATCTGTGGAGTTTCATCTAGGCGGGAGGGCTGAACCTCTCCACCTGAGCCAGGCCAGCCAAGGCGATCAGTGATGGCCGCGTCACAAAACTGTTTGGTCACTTTTAGGTACATGTCTGGTGTGGTCTCTTGAGGAGCATCTGACAGCTTCTTCTGGAGAGGCCACACTCTGGCCTCCAGGACCCACCCCCACGCCTGCACCCCTGCAGTGAGCTGGGTCTTCCTGTTTCATACATGTCCTGTGAACAGTTCCCCTGGCCCTGGTTCTAACCCCAACCTGTGCCTGGCGCCTTTTGACATTGCAATGCAGCCTGCACTCTGTTCCCCAGGCCCCGTCTGCGGTGCTCTCCCTGGGCTTAGCTCCTCTCCTCTCCATCCTCAGGGCCTGGTCCAGACCCTCAGGACTGGGCCCCTCTTTCCCTTATGCCCAACCACCTCCAGGCCTCGATACTAAGGAAACATCCGGGATCTGAGCACCACATCCTTCTACAGCTACTTTAATCATGGCCACAGCTTCTGTCCTGGCCCCACAAGCCTCTTCTCCCCACAGTCGCCAGAGGAACTGTCATCTCACAGTGACATTGGGCCAGCCCCTTCTCTGGACATGGGATGGATCCTTGGACATTCACAGTGGAAGCCAGTGTGGCTCAGTCCCTGGGGCCTCCTGCCACCCACACTCCTTGAGGCCTTTGCACCTGCTTTCTTTCCCTCAGTGTGTATATTTGGGGGTGCAGGGCAGTGCCTCTCTGTCTGAGGTTACAGAGATGGACACTTGCCAGTCTCTTGGCTGACTGGGGCCCTAGCTCCTTCCCTGCCCCTGCCCTTACCCTTGGCAATCTTGATATCCAGGGCTGTGCGGATCAGGGCCATGAGGGTGGAATTGAAGTGGACAGTATTGTCGTCAGCCACCGGCAGGTCCATCCGCAGAAGCCTCTACAGGAAGCCAGAGGCCAGATGTCACTTGCAGGCACCCCACTTGGGTCCCCTGTGAACCAGACCCCACCCACCCAGGGGACTCCAGCGAAGAACTCTGGGGGTGGCAACTCAGGTGGCCTGCCCTTCAGATAACCTGCCCGTGTGTGGGCTGCTAGTCCCCCTTTTGTGGCCGGGCAGGTTGGGCAGGGGCCTTTCCTGCTTCCTGACCTGCCCGCTTCCCTCTCCCACTTTCAGGGTGCTAGAGCTGGTGTCCCCAGCCTCGCCCAGCGTCACCTGGCCCCAGAGTTCTTCTGGAAGGTCCCGTCTGTCTGACTCCAGAGAAGAGCGCACAGGCCTGGCCCTTAGCAGCACGTGCAGCAGCAAGCACAGGGCCATGGTCAAGGCCGTCGGGGCCACCCGCTCCCGCCACCTCCCAGCTCGGCCCAGAACAGACGGGCACAGACCACAGCATGCTGTGAGCTGAGGCTGCAGGCGGCAGTGGGCCCCACGGTGGGCCCCTCGCAGACATGCAGTGAGCCAGACACAGAGCAGCACAGATGGCGCATGCAGACGGAATCTCGAGACTCATTCATAGCCCCGTGAAGAGTGTTTGGGGCGGTCCGGGGCCTGGCTCTGTGCAGTGGCGGGGGAGGGGTGAGGGGCAGCCCACGGCCCAGGGAAGAAAGGCTCCCTGGGTCCCAGGGGCTCTGTCCCCAGTGCTGAGAGGCATCATCGGGCATGGGAGAGGGTGCTGGGCTGGTGTGCACCAGCCCAGGCGGGAGGAGGGCACGGTGGGTGAGAGGGGGGTGAAGGGTGAGAACGACTGTTTCAGACACTTGTCAGCAGGAAACAGTTGGAGACATGAAGGGAGTGGGACTCGGGCTGGCTGGGCTGACCAGGGCGAGGAGGGAGGCAGCACAGAGAAAGACGGGGTTGCTGTGCACAGTTAGGCAGGTTGTGGACTGCACAAAGGGCTCCCAGCCTTAGCGCTGTGGATTTGTTCATTTAATGAGAACTTTGGAGCTAGGAGCAGAAAAGAGTCTTATTCAGAATACATCGGGGCGTTACAACTTTCTCACAGACAGAATAGTGTCTGTGGGAAAGATGCCTTTTCAAATCCACACAGCGGCTGGGAGGGTGCACTCCCCTCCTCTCTGGCACACACACAGATGTCTCGGTGAGCCGAGACTGGAAGGGACAAGAGGGCCAGTAGAGAGAGGGACAGGTGCAGGGCTGGGGCTGCTGAACCCGACCTCAGGTGTGGTAAGGAGGACAGACTGGGCAGGACCAGGGGTGGGAACAGGGAGGTCTCCGGAGGGGGCTACACAAGACAGCACCTGCTTCTTGTGAGAGATGGGTGGGTCAAGTGGGTGGAGAATGGGTTTGCTGGGCATTTTTTTTTCTTTTTTAGGGGGAAGACTTTTTAAGTCTGAGTGGAGGGAACAGAGCAACTGTCCTTGAGTGTCAAGGGAAATTCTGGGGCAAGGGTGATTCTGTATAGGGGTGGCCTGGGCCAGCCGCCTGGCGGCAGACCCCTCACCCTTCAGCCAGCATGCACCGCCCCGGTCGCCATGGTGCCTGCCCACCCCAGGCCCGCCAAGGCAACGTGCATGGCCTGCGTCGGGTGCCGCGGTCCAGGGGTCCAGCTGCGGCCCGCCTGCCCACTCTGGAACAATGCAGAGGCATGTTGGGATGTCTTGGGGAGGGATGGGGTGACATGGGGCAGGGCTGGGAACTCCAGGGTGACTAAGGGCCGTGGGGAGGGGTCGGGGAGGAAAGGCTCTAGTGGGCTATTGGGGAAGTCTCAGATCCCCGAAGGTCCTAGGTCAGAGATCAGCTTCAGGTATGTGTGGGTGCCGGGGGGGGGGGTCTGGGACTCAAGACACAAAAGATCTGAAGCCCCATCGTTGGGGCACCTGCTTGGGCCTGGGTGTGGGGGCTGCACTGGGAGGGCGGAGGGAGGGCACGGCTGTGGCTCCCTGCTTGTGTGCAATTTGGTTCCCAGGGGGGCCAGGTTCAAGGGGACCTGGGGGGCTCCCCTCCCCCTCCCCCCTGCGTGTCGGCCATAATGGAGTCTCTGAAAACACGAAGACACTCATCAAAAAAGGACGGACACACTGTACTGGTTAGAGTCAAGGAGGGTCATGACCGAATTACTCAAGGAGAAAAGAAAAAGGAGGAAAAAAAGGAAAAAAAAAAGAAAAGAGTAATGCGAGAAAAAGAGACTCGGCTGGCTGTTTCCGGTCAGCGCTTAAAAATCCCCAGTGCCCGCCGGTGTGGGTGGTCGGCAAGGGTAGACTACCTTGTAGGCCACTCTGGCCGGACACTTCTTCCCCAGACCCAGGGGCGGAGACATGTGTCTCAGCATCTGATACATGTCCGGGTAAGGCATGCGGCCCCTGGCAGCACCGGAAACAAAGAGGAGAGCAAGGAGGGAGTAGAAATAGGAGGAGGCAGGGACAAAAAACCAAAAAGAGAAAAGAACCAAACCAAAAAAAAAAAAAATCACACGAGCCAGAAAAATAGAGAGAGAAAGAGGCAGAGAATGGTCAAATGGGTCATTCAAATAAATGGAAAAGAGGAAGGGGGGAAAAAATGGAAGAAAAGGCAATTAAAAAAAAAAAGATTATTTCACTGCCCAGGAGCAGAAAGAGAGAAAGACAAGAGAAAAGTCAGGTTTCCACTGGACCCAGCTCTGGTTCCGGCGGGGTCGGGAACCGGGCCGTGCTCAGCTGGCCTTTGTCCAGTGGGGTCAAGTTCTCTGGTTTGGCTGAGGCTGGTCTCTGAGGGGGCCTCGGAGATGAGGGGGGGCTGGGGCAGTGGGAGGAGGGCTGGGGGCTTTGAGGGGGTGAGGAGGAAGGGGAGAGTGGAGGTAATGGCAGAGGGACCGGTACAGAGTCACAATCCCCCAGATGTGTCTGGTGTGGGGTGCGGTGGACACCCCGGGATGGGCAGCTTCAGCTAAGAGCAAGCAGAGATGGCTGAGGGGACGGAGAGGTATGTTCCATGCGTCATCAAATCTATGTGACCGCATTCTGTCGGCTAAGAGAGTTTTCTAGATTAATGCAAGAGAGAGAGAGATGGCTCTGTTTTTAGATATATATATATGAAATATATATATTGAAGAACCCCAAGCCACACTCATTCCATGGATGCTAGCAGGTTTTAGTGGAAATCAAACCTTGCAAGCAACCCTATGAGGGCATTTCTTGCCTAAGCCGAGAGGGGGAGATATTACTCGCAATAAACTGTACATATCCTTATAATGAATCCGACCGCTGAAAGGAGAAGAGATGGGGTTAGTGGTGGGGTGGGTCTAGCTGTGTCCATATTGGTGCCCGGGCATGCAGCGAGGTCAGAAATCCCCTGGCTAGCAGGGCTGGGGCGACTCAAGATGAGCCAAGGTCCTGGACATTATCCTAGATAATACTGGCTGACCCACCTGGGGCTATGCGTGCATGTGGGGGTGTGTGTGTCTGAGCGCGCACACGCGCGTGCATGGGGGTGCTCTGGCTGGGGGCACCTCTCACAGGGTGCTCTCTGCACCTCCCACCTCCACAGACTACGTGGCCTACACTGGGGGCTTGTGGAATAGAGGGGGGACAGCATCCCACTGCTGTGACCTAAAATCAAAAGAGGAAGAGTTAGGAACCAGCCAGAAGCCAAGCCCCAGCCCTACACATCACCCCGGCCTCTGGGGCACATGGAGAACTTGTCTGGGGCTACAGGGGCGCAGGAACTGACCCCTCCTGGCCTGCCTTGGCACGCTTCCCCTGGAGCACTGAGGTCTGGGGGAGGCGGGGCTCACAGAGCCGAGCACCCCAGTCACGCTCCCTTAGGCCCCAGCCTGATCAAGGATCCTCAGCTGGTGGGCTGTGCCTCGGTGTGTCCCCAAGTCCAGCAGAGGCATGGAGCAGAATGGGTACTCAGTCCATATACACAGAGTGGACAGGCCCCTGAAAACACTGCCCACCTGGGGCAGGGTGCTTTAAGGCCTGTGGAGATGAGAAGGACACGTCTCTTCGTGGTCATGAAGATCCAAGGACTCTGAGGCATCCCACTTGTCCTGCCCCCTAACATGCACCAGCACTGTGCCTCTGCAGCCATCCCTGGCCTTGACTGACCACCCATTCCAAGGCCCCAGTAACACCTGAGTTCTGCTATTCTGATTGCCTTCCGCTCAGGGAGCCACGCTGGTCCCACACGCCCAGGAGAACCACGGCTCAGAGACTTCCATCTCCTCTCAGGTTAGCCCGGCTAACCTGTCCTCCCATCCGGAGGGTTCATACTGAGGGGCAGAGGAGGATGTGGAGAAACCAAGGGCTCTGCATGTCTGAAAGGGGACTCCTTTCCAAACTTCTCAGAAAGCCCAGATTTGAATAAGAATGGGAGCCAAACTGTTTAGCTCAGGCTTTTCCCAGGACATCAACTTCCACACTGCCCCAAGGGGATCGCCTCACGACAGTCCCTCCAGCCCCCAGGTCCAGCTCCAGGCAGAGGATGAGATGTGGCCGCAGGACTCAGGGGACTTCTTACCAAGCAGCTGGGTCGTACTCAGCCCAGACACGCACGTACTCATCCAAGTGGTGAGGGCCCAGGATGGAAGAGTCTCGGGTGAGGTACTCGAAGTTGTCCATGATGACAGCGACAAAGAGGTTCAGCATCTATGGGCAGCAGCCCGGGGAGCAAGAGGCAGTGGGGAGAGCAAGGGGGAAGAGAGAGACAGAGAGACACAGAGAGACAGCATGGGGAGAGAGACACATACTCATGCAAAGAAACCCAGGGTGAGAGGGAGGGAAAGGGGGTGTGTGTGAGAAAAACAGAAAAAATGGAGGCAGACACAGAGAAAAGAGATGCACGACAGAGACAGGATGACAGAGAGAAGAGAGGTGTATGAAATGGGACCCACGCCAAGGCAACCACAATGACCCCAAACCTTCCCACATCTGCCCCTCACACACTCCCAGATTGACAGTTCCATGGGGTAAAAGCCCACTTGGGTTCTATGCCGTAGATGTAGCTCCAGTATAAAGCAAAACTCAAACCCCCTCGTTGTCATCGAGGGGGAGCTGCCTCACAGCTGCCCTTCCCTTGGGGTTCCCAACGTTGTAAAAGGCTTGGGAGGAGATTACCTATTTTTCTCCCACAGAGCTGCTGGTGGATTTGAACTGCCAGAGAGGTGTGGCCTTGCAGGTTAACCGCAGAGCTCCCTACAGACTACATCACCAGAGCTTCAGCCACTATTTTTTGTGTGAAAGGGTTGAGGAGTAGATATAGGTGAGTAAGCGGGTGGGGGGTGTGGCTAGAGAGGTAGGTGCAAAGATGGATGACGGGGTGGGTTGCGGAGGGACATATACAGATAAATGGATACATGGTAAGTGGGTAGATTGGTTGTTATCTGCCTGTGAGTCCACTACGACTCACAGTGACCCTACGAACAACAGATGTGAACCTGCCTTATCATGCACCAACCTCACGATCTCCGTCATGTTCAAGGTCACTGTGATGTGTGTTCACCTCGACATTGCACAACATGATGTCCTTTTCTAAGGCCTGGTCCCTTATGAAAATATGCCTCAAGTGACACGAGCTTTCACCACCCTGGCCTCTAAGAGCACCCTGTTTTCGCTTCCTCCAACACAGATTTATTTGTTCTTTGGGAAGTCCAGGAGATACTCAGTACTCTTCTCTAACACCACACTTCAAAGGCGACATTAATTTTTCTTCTGTCATCCTTACTCACTGTTCAAGTTTCAGAGGCATAGGGGCTTTGAGAATATTCCATGGTTTGGATCAAGCATACCTTAGTCTTTAATGTGGCAACATTGCTTGTTAGTACACTGGAGAGATCTTTGAGAAAAGATTTCCCCAAGGCAACATGCTTCTTAAAATGTAATCAAATCTTGTTGTTGTTGTTAGTCTGGATGTTGATTGTGGATCCAAGTAAAATGAAATAGCTGACAACTTCCATATTTTCCTCTATCAAGATGTTGCCTACTGGTCTAGTGGTGAGTATTTTAATTTTCTTGATGTTAAGATGTAACCTATGTTGAAGGTTGTTATCTTTGATCTTTTAAAAAATATTTTAAATTTTTTAAAAACATTTTTCTTTTTATTATTGTGTATGTGTACCATCAAATCAGATGCAACTGGTACAGGAGGAGATTGCCCTTCCTTCTCCAGTGGAGCATCTGGTGGATTCAAACCACCTGCCTTCAGTATTGCAGCCCAGCTTCTTGCCACTAGGCCACCAGAGCTCCATCTTTGATCTTTTGCAGCAAGTGCTTCATCCTGATTCTCCTTCATCAAGTCCAGCTTCCTGAATGATTTGCTCAGTATGTTGATCAAATAGGTATGGAGAAAGGATACAACCCTGATGCATGCCTTTTCTGATTTTAAACCATGCAGTGTACCTTTGTTCTGTCCAGACAATTGCTTCTTGGTCTGTGTATAGATTTTCTCATGAACACAATTAACTGTTCTGAGATTCCCACTCTTCCCAGTGTTAGCTGTAATTTACTAGGATCCACACAGCCACATGCCTTTGCTCAGTCAATAAAACACAACTAAACATTTTTCCGGCATTCTCGGCTTTCAGCTGTGATCCATTTGACATCAGCAATGATATCCCTCATTCCATGACATATTTTGAGTCCACCTTGCATTTCTGGCCATTTCCAGTCATTGTCTACCCACTTTGGAATTGTCATCACAAAGGCCAAATGAAGAGGTGAGCGGTTTTCCTCGCCCTCTGCATTTCTGTCTCACTTTTTCTTGTGCTCCTCCGGTCCTTAGCACACGGGGAGATGGCACTGGTCTTCTAGGACTAGGCATGTAGTGCTCCCTTATCAGACATCATGATACTTGTTTTCTGATTGGTCATTCTCCCTTTGGGTCGCAGTGCCTGACCCCTGTCCCACTGGTACACTTATACCAGACAATATAGACAGGTGAGCTTGATTCCATTCCACAGCTCCACAGGTGGGGATCACCAAACCAAGACCTGTGATTGGTTTAGGGAAGAGCACATGATGAACGGTGGTCCAATGAGAGCCTTCCGAAAAAAAGAAGGCAGTTTGGAGGTGCCTGGCTGAGAGACCATGAAGCCCACTTCCCTGGGCCCAGCCTCACCTGGACTTTTTTTTTTCTTTTTTTTAATTTAGGTTGTTTATTTTTCATTTCAATGAACATCTACAGAGATTTTGGGATTCCATTCATTCATTGTTGCACCCTTCTCCTCGCACAAACCCCTCCCCCCTCCCCCCTCCCCTGGACTTTTAAGTTATACAAGTTCAAGAACTGCACTTGGCCTGTCAGTTTCAAACGCATTTCTGTCACTTGAAACCAATTACACAGCATTCAGTTCCTGCTCACATACTAATCATGCCCATCAACCCTGAAGGACGTTCTTTGAGATTTCGTCCTTTCTCTCCATCTGAATCTTCTGCCCAATGGAGCACATACCCATCTGACTATGTTTATCCTGCCACTTGTCTGCCCACTCCCCCTACAAGCTGGGAGGGAACTGGGGTCTCACTTATACGCCTGTGGCTACTAGCATACATAAGGTCAGGCACACAGTTGATGTTGTGAGTTGTCCACCTCCTAGTGACCCTATGAACAAGAGATTTGAACCATTCCCTATCCTGTGCTGTCCTCATGATCTGATAGACCTGAGCTCATTGTTCTGTTGAAGGTCTTCCTCAATGTTTATATATAAACATGGCAGGTGCTTAACAAATTACCTGCCACTATACTGTGTTGTTGCTGTTACGTGCCATGGAGTCAGAACTGACTCACAGCTGACCCTCCTGTGGGTTTTCAGAGGTTGTGAATAGTATGGGAGGAGAGTCCACCTTTCTCCCATAGCGCAGCTGGTCGATTTGAACCACTTGCAACTTCTGGTTGGCAGCACTAAAGCCACCAGACAGACCTCCCTACCTAGTTCTCAGGTTTAACTCATCATGCCATGACAGACACCTGCTGCGTGCCAGGCGTTGTCAGAGGTGTGAGGGACATCACCGCGAGAAAAAAAGAAATCCTGCCCATGGAAGGGGCTGACAGCTTAGTGTTGTGGGCATCTTTTGGGGGTGCTCACTTCTCCAAAACAATAAGGGTTAATGATAAGATCTTATCTCTGTTATTTACCCACAGCTGCTGGGACAAGGGTAGGTATGTGACCAGGGGCTGGGCTGGCCCATTCAGAGTCTCTCTTCTGAGAATTTGGAACAAAATGACAGACACACTGGGTCGGGAGCTGTGGACATTGGTGTGAGATCTCTGGCCGGAAGGGGATGAGTGCATGGGACACGTGGGGACAGATCACAGCTCCCACTGACCTCCAGCAGCCAGGCAGGAGGCAAGACCTGGGGTGGAATGGAAAAGGGGCTCCTTCTGCTTTGAGTGTGAGATCTGTAACTGTCCATCACCTGCAGAGAGCCCGGCACCAGGGCCCTTTGGAGGGCTGACCCCTCTGGCAGGGCCCCCCCATCCCACTATGTCGCGCCTCCCTCCCTGAGGCCTGATTCTCAGACACCTGGGTCTTCCTTTAGGTGCCTGCATATTGATAACCTCCTCTGTTTCTTTAACCCAGCCCTCGGGATGGCAACCAAGGAGCCCTGGTGGTGCTGTTGGCTGTTAACTGAAAAGTCAGTGCCTTGAATCCTCCCAATGGCTCTGTGGAAGAAAAGATCTACTGATCTGTTCTCCTACAGACCCCGCCTTGGAAGTGAAGTTCTTGTGGGGAAGTTCTATTCTTTTTTTAAAATTAATTTATTTTTCTTCATTGTTGTGCATTTTCTTCCTCTTCCCCCTCCCCACCCCACAATGCACCCCTTATTCCAGACTGTTGTCATAATGCCTAATTATATATTCCATTTGGACAGTTTTTTCTTCTGTTCTACTGCAGTGTTCATTATCTATCCACTCTTTTCCCATTCTCTCCCCCACCCCCTCATGTCTGTCCTTTTTTTTTGGTCTGTCCTATTTTATAACAGTGATAGTATGTAATATTTGTCCTTTTGTGACCGAGATATTTCACTCAACATAAGTCCTTCAGCATCACCCACGTTGTGTAATGTTTTACAAGTTCATAGTTTTTCAGTGCTCCATAATAGTCCATTGTGTGAATATACGATCGTTTTTCTATCCATTTATTTGTTGATGGGCACTTGGGTTGCTTCCATCTCTTTGCTGTTGTGAATAACACAACAATAAACAAGGCTGTGCATGTGTTTGCATTGTGGCTGGGGTTTCCTTAGGATATATTCTCAGTAGTGGAATTGCTGAGTCAAATGTTATTTCTATTTCCAATTTTTCGAGAAAGCATCAGACCGCCTTCCATAGTGGCTGCACCATTTTACATTCCCACCAGCAGTGAATTATGAGTTCCCGTCTCTCCACAACCTCGCCAGCATTTGTTGTTGGCTGCCCTGTTGAACTCTGTGATTGTTGCTGGGGTGAGATGATACCTCTCTTTTTTAAAATTTTTATTATTTGTGTGTACCGTCAAATCAGATCTGACCGGTACAGGAGGAGATTGTCCCTCCTTCCCTGGCACAGCATGTGGTGGATTCGAACCGTGCGCCTCTGGGATTGCAGTGCAGCTTCTTGCCACTAGGCCACCAGAGCTCCCCTAGATGATATCTCATAGCTGTTTGGGGAAGTTTATTTGTATCGCATGGGGGCCACTGCGAGCCAGAGTCCACTTGAGAGTGCCCAGTCTCAGGCCTGGCCACAGCCATCTTCCCACAGTTAGGAACCTCTTTCAATCCAGTGCAGCCAATCCCTGCCTTCAGTCCCCTCTGACAGAGACACCTGGACAGGTTCTGGCCTTCTGTCAGCATGCTGCCGGACACAAGGAGCATGAAGGACAAAAGAGATTTGCAGAGAGGATGCCCCAGAGAGAGTGCAAGAGAGAGAGCGGGGAGATGGACTGGGGGCTCCTCTGATCCCTGAGAGAGTGTGGGAGATGGACTGGGGGGCTCCTCTGATCCCGGATTTTCCTTTTAGGCTGCTCCTGCTTTCAATCTTCTGTCAGTGTCCTTACCCTCTGGCTCTATGAGATTAATTTTCTCCTGGTAAACTGATTGTTTACCAGAGAGGATGGATTCTATTCATCGTACAAATCCTGCAGCCCCTACAGAATGTGTCTGTGCCAAAGCCTTCTTCCTACTCCTCGCTGTACCGAGGAGGGCACCCAGCTCGTGGAGAGCAGAAGTGGGCCTCCTCAGGTCAACTACAAAGGCCAGCTCTGAATCCCACCAGTGGTCCTTCAATGGACATGTTCTGCTTCCCCAGGAAAATGTGACAATGTCTGGAGACTGTGTCTGTCCTACCTGGGGGCAGGGGCTACTGGCATCTCACGGGTAGAGACCAGAAATGCTGCTAGGCACCCCATCATTTATAAGGGGGACCAGTCAGAAAGAAGGCTCAGTCCCAAATGTCAACAGTTAAGGGGTCCCCGTTGACCCAGTCTAGCGCCAGCTCATTGGCACGAATCACTTTTAGGGAGTAGGTCTGGACACAGCACACTCCAGGGAAGCCCACTGCCCTATGTGGGATCCAGGCTGAGGGAGCTCACCCCCACCCCCCATGTCCACAGACTCACCAGAAACGAGCAGAGGAAGATGAAGGACACAAAGTAGAAATAAGCAAACTCATTGCCACACTCCGCAGTCAAGATGCCCGAGTTTTTGTCACACGGTTTCCCGCTGAGGCAGGACAGCATGATGTTGTGCCAGGCTTCTCCGGTGGCACTCCTGGGGACAGAGCGGGCATCAGAGACCTGCGTACCCCGTCCTTGCTGGATTCTCCAACCACCCAAGGTGGCGGAGGATGGGGCTGCAGCACTGGGGTTCTGGGGCTCTCAGTGGGCTGTCTTATCTTTAATTGTGCCAACTACCTAGAGAGCTTTCAAAACCCTGATGCCAATATGCCCCATCTGTACCTGCTGGCATCCACTTCGCCCAGTGGGGTCTGGGGATACAGGTATGTTTTAAAAGTGCTCCAGGTAGTTGTCACCTGTGACGACTGCCTTTTTCAGTTACTCTGCTCCAGTCACACTCCTACCGTAGGGCCTTGGTGTCTCCCAAGTGCTTCTTCCACCTGCAGTGCTTTCCACAAACACTCAGGACTTCCTGCTTCTTCTGCTCTCCCACAGGTCATGCACTCAGGGTATTTATTTAAAACTGGGTTGGTCCTGCCGGCTCTCCCACCATTGCCCAGAACTTACTTCTGGGTTGACTGGCTGGCTTCCTCACAGGGGCACAGCCTTCCAGAAAGTGGCAGATGCCTCTCTTTCTCTCTGTTCCCTGCTCCCGTTGGTACCCACCACATGTGCTCAGGACTGTCCTAATGAACGAGGGGCACTCTCATGTGAAGCCATGGCCACACAGCAAAGAATCAAGCCCAGGTCCCTAAGCCTGCTTCTTCCTTTATCAGCTGAGGTTCCCAAGAATCCTCGCCTCGCATGATGGTCAGGAAGACTGAGCAAAATAATGCTCCCCAAACTTCTCATGCTTATCCGTTCTCCGCTCCTGTCCTACAGGGTCCTGCATGTCCACCCCATGCTTTAACAAACAGGTCAGACCCTAGCAGAATGGATGCCCCTCGCTGAAAATGAAACTTGAAGGAATGTCCGCCTCCCACCAGGAACAAACACCAGAGTGGGCAGAGGGGCGCAGACCCGGCTGGAGCAGAATGGGGAAGTGGACACCCTCACCATCAGAGCCGTGAGAGGGTCCGACGCTGGCCCTCACCGGAAGAGAAGCATGAGGGCTTGTAGGAAGGTCCGGAAGTTATTGTGCTCAGTGATTTGAAACTCATCTTCATCACTGTCCTCATCCTCCACATCGATGCCGATGTTACCAAACACCTGCAGGGGGTGGACGGAGGTGAAACGCGCAGATCAGCCCCCATGGCTGCCTCTGTGAACTGCAGCCAGTCCTGCCAGTGGGCCGTGAGAGCTTCAGGACCTTGGGAGCTGACAGACATACTGACCTGCATCCCGATGATGGCATAGATGAAGAATAGCATGGCAATCAGCAGACAGACATATGGCAGGGCCTGGAGGGAGGAAATGCAAGGAAATCGGCTGCTGGGACCTCTTACCCCAGTGCCATTTCCCCACCCTGGTTTCAGTGCTCAAGGTCTGCACCAACGTCAAGACTGTGTGGTCAAATACTGTGGTGCTGGAGTGGTACCAGGGCTGGTGGGCACCTCTGGCGACTCCAAAGATGAAGTCACAGCACAAGGATCCCCTTGGTGCTCTCAGGACGTGACACTCCAAGGGCTGGAATTTGTCTAAGACATTCTCAGAGGGGTTTCCAAGGGCTGAAGTCGTCTAACGTTCTCAGAGAGGCTGGAAAGTCTCAGTGTCTAGGCTTGGCCGGCCGCTCTTTATCTCAGCCCTGGGTGAGTGGCAGGTACAGCGGCTCACCTTGAAGGACTGCACAAAGGTCCAGAGAAGAATGCGGATCGTATAACCCTGACGTAGGAGTTTGATGAGCCGGGCAGCCCGGAAGAGCCGGAGGAAGCTCAGATTGATGAAGTTATTCTGGGGAGACGGAGAGAGAGCGGGTGACCATCCACCCATCCCCAGGGGCTCAGAGCCGTCACCAATCACAGAGGCCCCTACATGAAGCCAACCAACAGGAAAAAGCAAGCCAGACCCCAAATAAGGAGGGAGAAGAGGAAAAGCACTATTAATGCAATGGTGCAGAGGGAAAAAAAATAAAAATTCGAAAAGGGACAGGGCTGGGGTGGGGGGAGACTAGGGTGGGACAGGAAAAGGCATCAACTCAAAAGCATAAGCCCTCCCCGCCAGCCCACCCGCAAAAGGGAAAAGGGACCGGAGAAAGGGTGGGGGTGGGGAAAGGAGGCAGGAGGAAGGGAAGGGTAGAAATAATAAAAGAACAAGGAAAAGAAAAATATATCCGAATCATCCAATCAGGAAAAAAATCGAGATGGTTTTTGTTTCTCCCAACAACCAAATGCACTGAGACGAGAGGACACAAGCGGGTCAAGGTGCCGAACCCATCACACGTGTACGATGCACACACACCACGCGGGGCGGGGCGGGGAGGGGCAGCCAGCGCGGGCCGGTGGACGTGTGCGTGTTCCGAGGGCATGTTACGCTCCGGGCCAGAAATGCATCTGTCACGAGACTCACCGGGCACCCTGCCCTGCCCTGCCGAGCTGCCCACCCGCTCCTGCCCGCCCTGACCTCACCCCAAGAGGAGCAGCGGCTCGAGCCAATTGGGAGAAGCAGAGAAGCATCTTTTCTTACCCCCTGGGCGAGCGGGAATGGGGAGGACGGGAGGGAGCTGGGGCTGTTCGGCTGCAGGGTGAGTCCTCGCTGCCCGCTGAGTCCGAGAAGATGCATTTGGGGCCCTTTTCCCCCCTCTCAGGGATGGCTTCTCAGCTTCTGGGGCTGGGTGGAGTAGCACGGGACCAGGCCTGCGGGAAGCACGAAGTACGCAGCTCCCGTGGGTGGGTGGGCTTGGAATGGGCTGGGCCCACCGAGGGGCCGGTGCTGGGGGCGGGGAGGGAGGCCGTCCCTGCCCCCAGGACCTCCCTGGGTGGCCCCTGCCTCTGCTCACAGACCCCCCCCAGTCTAAACACTGCCTCAACCTCCTCCCACCCAAGCCAGGAATTGGGGGAGCTGTGGGAAGGTCCCGCGTGACTGATGGAGGCTTGCCTGCTGGGCCTGAGGGGTGTGTTGTGTGGCTGGGTCCGAGGGGGGGTGTGGGGTGGCTAGGTGTCACCAATGGACCGCTCTGGCCAGTGAAGCAATGTCATCAGGCCTGAACAGCATTTTTAAAAAAAGAACCCAAAAAAACCCCCCACACCAAAAACAACCCAGAAAGAATGGCCAATGTTAAAAAATGAGGGGGGTTTTCAAATCTGGCTTTTCTGTATTATGGGCCTGCTTCTGACATGGCTGGGGCTCATTCAAAGCTACTCCCTATGAAAGGGGCCTGGGTCCCCAACTCTCTTGCACTGGAGTCGGCATGCCCTCAGAGGCACCTGGGCTTCAGGCTGTAGGCCTGTCAAACTCTGCTTTACCAGCTACCAGAGAGGGGAGCAGGGCACCTTCCACCAAGAGCAGCCCAACGGGCTTTGTGGGGTCCAGAGGAGCCCTACAGCCAGGCTATCTGGCAGAATTTAAATCAGCCTAGCCCCACCCTAAATAGCAGAAGGGTGACATTCAAATATTCACAGCTCCTCACCCCAGACTCAGAAATGCCAAAAGTCCCAGAAGCGCTTAACAGTGGACTGTTCTGTACTGTGAGCAAACCCTGGTGTAGAGCCAGAGGGCATGACTGGGCTCAAGGAATTTCGGGGGGCTGCAGCGGCCTTTTGGGTTTGCAGCCAAATGTGGACAAGCCTCCACGTGTGTCTGAGAGCTTAACAATTGGCCCTCTGACCTCTGGGGAGGATGGGGTTGGGCTACCCTGATGCCTCTAGCCCAGCCACAGTTGTGAGAATGCTCCAGAAGCCCCCACCCCTGGGTTCAGCTGCAACAGTCCCCCTCTTAACCTGCTGACCTGACCCCCGCCCTGCCTGGCCACCCAGCTCTGCCTGGGGATGGGGCCCTGGCCCAGCTCTTCCCCACCCCCTCCCCTTTATCCCCATAGTACAAGCCATCCCTTCCACGGGCGGGCGGATCATAACATGTGGACTCGGAGGAGCATGCAGAGGCAGGCAGGCTCGGGGATCAGCCTGGGGTTCAGCAGGCAGGAGCCTGGCGCCATGCGGGAGAAGCCAGGGGCTGGGGGCCGTGCACAACAGCTGCCCTTTGGGGATACACACAGGGTGGGGCAGAGACAAGAGAAGGGGTGGGGAATGAGGGGAGAACTCGGTGTGCCCTCATCTGTCCTTCCCACCCTCCTGAGTCTACCTCCGTTCCCCCAAACACCCCACCACTTCCGGTTACTTTCCCAGCTTGCTTCACTCCACCCTCAGCCTAGCAACAGTGGCTCTTCTTAAATTCTGCCCTGCACATCTCAGGTCCAGCACTGGTCCCACATGAGAAGCCACCCCTGACCTGGCTTCCTGAGGGGACAACAGGAAACGTGCAGCAGACCCCACCCTCTAGAATCCCTGGCACCCTGCCTCTAGGCGCCAGAGCTCATAACCACTTGCCTACCTGGCTGTTCTTCTGGGGTGTCCCACAGGCCCCAAACCTTCCATGTCCACACATAGGCTCTCCCTGTGAGCTGCTTTCCCCTGGCACATCCTTAGTCCACCTCCTCCGCCCCTGGACACCTCTCTCCCTCTCAGCCTAGGTCCTAGTCAAGCCCCTTTTGCGTCCTCCCCTGCCCTCTTCTTCTCCATGCACTCTTTATCCACATGCTTCATCTCTATCGGGGTTCTTGCTGGTCATCTCCAGACCGGGCAGCTGACAAGGGCTCCCTGCTTTGCAGATGCAGTGACCTTGTACACAATCCCACCACACTGCAAGCTCCTCCATGGCCCTCCTGGTGCTTAGCAGAGAGTCAGCCCGTGTGTGTGTGTGTGTGTGCGCGCTTGTGTTTAGATCAGCCCTCCTTGGGTCTCTCGGCTTCAAACACATTGCAAGCTCTTTCCTGCCACAGGGCCTTTGCACGTGCTTCACGCCTGGCCTGAAATGCCCATTTCTCCCCTGTGCTCTTGACAACTCTGCTTTGGCTTGCAGCACAAATCAAATGTGGGGGATTGTTTGACCAATGCCTTCCTCTTACACCTGGATGCAGGTGAGGCGGGCAGGGATGGGCCTGCTTTCTGTCCACCACTGCAGCTGTCACACCAAGTGGGGCTTGTGGACTATCTGATGAATGAATGCATTTGTACTGTCTGCAGGAGAGAGGTCCCTGAAGCAAAGGTGACGTCGGCAGGCCTTCCAAGAGGCTCCTAGGCAGATAGGGAGGAGGGGCCAAGTCAGGTAGTATTCAAGGATGTGAGGGATGTGCAGGGAACTGAGGAGGGGGAGCTCTGTGCTGGGGTGGGAGTATGGCTGTGCCAAGAGCAGGTGTCCCAGAGGAGGGGGACGGTGCATGTGAACACATGTGTGTGCATGTGTGTGTGGATGTGTGGAGAGAAGGTGTGAAGTGACAGTGTATGCTTCTATCAGTGTGCATTCTGGCGTGTGAGTGCGCATGTGTTTTTTTTTTAAATTTATTATTAATCTCAGTAAAAATGTACAGAGACTTTGGATTTCCATTCATTCATTGTTGCGCTGTGCATGTGCTTTAAGTGTGACAGTGTGAATGTGTGAGAAAAGACAGTGAGAGAGAGTGTGAGAAACAGGGAGCATGTGGGAGTGTGTGTAACAGTGTATGAGAAAAAAAAGCTAAACAGAAAGAGGGAATGTGGGGAAAACTAGAGAAAGAATGACTGAGAGTATCAGAAAAAGAAAGTAAAATCCAGGAGAGGGTGAAGTGTGTGTGTGTGTGTACAGCACATATGTGTGTGTGTGGTGGCCAGGGCGTGGGTGCCTTGGGGCTGGACAGTACAGGCCTGGCTGCGAGGTGAGTCTGTCAGGGGTGGGTCAGGCACGACGAACCCCTTGTCGTGTCGGTGAAGCTATACAGGGAACCCACTCAAACCCTCTCAACTTTCGCTGCCCAAACCAAACCACCCCAAATGGAAAATTCACATCCGGAACCCATCTGTACCACCAGAGAGGGAGCATGGGGTGGGGTGGGGACGAGGGGACGTGGAGGAGAGGGCAGGGGAGACCACAGACAGAAGGGATGGGGTGCATCAGGCAGTCTTTAGGAAGCCCAGGGCGTGGACGTGCAAGGCTGATGCGAGACGATGCTTCCACAGTTAATGTAAGGCATTTAGACTTCAGAAAGAAGTAAGACCAACCGGATTCTAGATGCAGATGTTGAAGATGGATGGGGAGCGGGCGGGCGGGGGCAGTTGGGGAGGCGTGTTCAGCGTTTTTTAGGTTGATTTGTAACCAGTGCCAAAAAACCCATGGGTTTCGGTTCCCGGGCGGGGAGTGGGGGTGGCGGGTTTGGGAGATAGTCATTGGTGTATGAACACACAGACCACGTCATGGATGAACAAATGAGTTTCATAGTGCATTTTGATTGGATGAGTTTTTCAGACGGCGTTGTGCCAATATACAGTTTAAAGAGCAGGCATGAAAAGAGACAAGACAAGAAACACAGTCATTATCCATCGCACACAGGGCAATCCCACGTCCCCAGGCACTGGGGGTGGCGGCTGAGGCCCGCTGGGCCCCAAGGGCAGTGCTGGGGAGGAGCTCACTGCCACGCGCCCTCTCGCCCCAGCCCTGGGGACCTGCCAGTCTGGCCACTCAGTCTAGCTCCCCTCCCAGGCCCCCAACCCAACGGGCTTACCTGGGAGGCAACAAAGGGGTGAACTGTGTGCTCTGCCCAGTGGGCAGCCTCCCTCCCCAGGCCAGGTTGGGAGCTGCTACCCACCCTTTATCTTCTCCCCACATATATGAACTTAAATAACTCAGGGAGGACCAACACACTCAAACCAAATACATTAATGGTGATGACACAACTGTGTCAGCTGCAAATTCTCTTTCCCGGCAGGCTCCGTGCCAAGCATTTTGCGTCAGCAGCTCTTCTGTGTGTTCGGAGTTTCCACCTCTCTTGCTGGGATATCAGTTCTACAAGGGCTTTTCTACTGGACCTCCAGCTGAGGATTGGCCTGGCCCCAGCGTGGACAAGCACACGCATGGCTGTGAGTCTTGTAAGAACCCTGTCCACTACGATGACCTTCCCTATTTTGCACGTGGTTGAGAAGATGTCATATGGCTGGGGGAAGAGGGCTGTGTGACCCCTGCACTCTCAGGGTGTTGTCACCCCAGTACTGGTTTCTGTGCCCCATCTTCCTGTTGGCCAGGAGAACGGCCATCAGTGTTCCACCGAGGATCTCATAGACGATAGTGGAGATGACAGGCTTCACTCGCTTCTGCCTCCCTCCTATCATTTTGTCCTAGGTGGACATTGGTTCCGGGCTGTCCTGTGCTCAGCTTGAGTGACAAGGGACTTTTCTTTGGCACCAGAATGGGGCTCTAGGCCTCTCTAAGCTCGGGATAGAAGACAAAGATCCAGGTTCTGCAGGGGAGAGTGGTGGGGGAGGATGATCCCTCAGCGGGGGCAGGACTCCTCTGGCAGACGATCTCAGAGTGGGCCTGGGCACCAGGGACACGACAGAGAATAGTCCCCCTTCTGGATGGCTCCACCAGGCTTCCAGCATGATGAGTCAGCCTGTTGGTCTTTCCTCTGTGGCTGGACCTGAGACCCTGGGCAGCTCAGGGCTCCCCTCGTCCCATCACTGACATGGCCCACTGTCCACATCTCTCCTCCCTTTGCTGTCTTGCTCTGGACTGGCACCCGGTGCTCTGGTCTTCAGATCTCCAGGTGGTTTGGCCCTGGCCGAAGAGAAGGGCCAGTGCACTTTCTCCTCTCTATGTGCTTCTTTGGCCTGCAGCTCCGACAGGGGCTGTGTCCCTCCATGTTCGTGGCTCCGGGCAGGTGGCACCCCCAGTTCACTCCCTGGCTGACAACAGCTTCCTGCCATCCATCCCTCTGCTGCTGTAGCCACTGTCTCTGCCTCGGCTCCCTTGGGCTGAACCCTCAGAGAGAGAATCCTTGTGTGCTGTGACCCTGACTGGAGCTAAGCCACGGAAAGTGCTTGGCACGTGCCTGGCATCGTGGGCATGCAGCTCTTGTCAGCAACTACTGTTTCTGTCACACAGTTGCTCCCACGCCCTTGGCTTTGACCCTCTTTGCCCTTTTGTACCCCTGCAAGGCTCTCTGCTAGCCCCCAACCTCCTGAGAACGCAATTCAAGAATAACTGACCAGAGCCCAAGGGGAAGGGGGCTGGGAAGAGTTTTGGGCTGTTTGCTGGATGAAGAGGAGGAAGAGGATTTGGAATGTGGGGTCTCACGACCCCCATGTAGGGAATTCCCTTGGGACTAGAGGAGGGCAAAGCCCTGGGTCCCTCCTTGGCCACCCTTCTGCCCAAGAAGCACCAGCGTTGGTCCAATGGCGTCTACTAAATGCTGGTTTCCCCCTGGGCTCCAGCCCCATGTAGAGCTGGAGGGGCCGGTCCTCCAAGGTCACGATCCTTTCCCTGAGGTTGTCGTCTCTCAGCTAAGAGAGGGTGCTAGCAGCACAGCCTCCCACCACCCTTCACGGCCCCTGGGACCCACACACTCCCATGTGGCCGGACCCACACTGTCTTGATCAAGAACCCCCTCCTCAGCCCAGCCCAGTCCAGAGAGCTGCCCAGAGAGAAGCTGGCAGGAAACTTACCCCAAACTCAGTCACGAGGATGTCGGTGATGCTGCCCAGAACAGTCACAAAGTCGAAGATGTTCCAGGCATCGCGGAAATAATTCTAGAAGGGGACCCACAAGACAGAGATGCCAAAGGGAGCCCCATGTCAGTCCCTGCCAGCCCAAGGGCGTGTCTCAAACAAGACTGTCACTCGTGTTCAAATAGTGAAACACTGCTAGCTGGCCTGGGTCGGTCAGCATCACCTCCTGAGAACCCTGCCCTGGTCCCCGACTTTCCCAAGCCTCAGTGACTCCTGGGCCCCCAAGCCTCTGACACAGCGCTTTGGCTGTCTCTCCAAAGATGCTGGGGGTTCTGGCTGCTTTACCAAGACTCTCAGATAAGGGTGTTAGCTCAGTTTATACCAGGCGCCTGCGGCTCAGGGAACAAAGCCAGCCACATGGGAGGTGGCAGGCTGAACTTGAACTCAGGTCTTGGTGAGTCCAGGGTCTGCAGTGAGAACTCAGGGGCTCAGGATGATTGATGTTCACAACCCATGTGCTAAGGAGTGGAGACTGCAGCCTGAGCTGGTTTCAAATCTCAGCTCTATCCCTGCCCTGATGAATAGAAATATTGTTTCTATTTGACAAACCATTTAGCTAGATATAAAATTTTTGGTTGGCACTATTTTTCTTTCTAGATTTTATATATGTCATTCCATTGCCTTTGTTTCAGCATGCTTTCTGCTGAGAAATGAGAGGCTTAGTCTTTTTCCTTTTCTGTAATATTTGGAAAGTTTTATTTCAGAAAATCTTCACTTATATTCTCTGTGCTTTAAAATAAAATCTCTTCCTAGTGGCAAGAAGCTGTGCTGCAATTCCAAAAGCACACGTTTCAAATCCACCAGATGCTCTGCTGGAGAAGGAAGGGCAATCTTTTCCTGTGCCAGTTCGATCTGATTCGATGGTACACAACAATTAAAATAATACAATCTCTTGATGTTGTCTTACATGGTTTTTACGGTTTTTTCATTTTACTTCTTCCTTTTTTCTGATCAACCCTCAAACAGATTACTAGTGAAGAGTTCAAAAACCCCTTCATCTTATCTGTGTTCTATTTCTTCAATTTTATATTCCAGACCATTACCTGTTTTTCAAATTTTAGTCTTAATATTTCAAACTTCAATTTCTATTTGTTTTCTCTATTTAGTCTTGTGTTTTGTTTTTGGGGGTTTTGTTTGTTTTAATTCTTCTAGAATTTTGTCTGTGTATTTCCTGGATTCTGTTTGTAGTTTCCTCAATTTTTTTCTCAATCTGATGGAGCTGCTTAACTTAACATTCTTTTGAACTCACTAAAAGGCAGTTTCAAAAGCTTTTCTTCCTCTGAAAGATTTTCTACTTCTGTATTTCTGGTCACTTTTTCTTCCATCTTGTCCTGTCTTTTTGACTGGTTTAAAGTTTTAAGCTGCCTCTAAGACACTATGGAGTTGCTGTTTTTGTGTTATTTTGTTTTGATGCACATGATTGAGCTTTGTGAGCAAGGCATTGATTATTAGTTTGGTAATTTTTAACGTTTCACCTCCTGTGCTTGTTCTTACATGTACAATTGAGGAAGACAGTGTGTAAGCTCTTCTCTGCTGTTTGTGTGGTGCAGCTGAGGGCTGACTGGGCCAGTGCTGATTGCTTTCTTTCATTGACGTGGTGGGCCTCCCATGCCTAGTCTGAAGAAGGGGAATGGTGACATTGAGGTTACAGGACACTGGAGCAGGCCCCTGAGGCCTTCCCTCCGGGTGCCCGGCTAACCGGGGAAGGTTTCGAACGATGATCAAGGGGTCTTGAGCAGAGGCAGCGTGGAACTCTCCAGAACTCTTAACCCCAGGCTTGGCCGCCAGCAACGTTCTGGATGCCACTGCTCGCAGAGCTTGAGGCCTTCCACTGAGTGTGACCAAAACCTTGGTTGATTTCAGCCAGTGAGCTGTAGGGGCTCTTTGGTGACTGCAGCTTAACTTGACCTGTCCTGACTGGTACATTTGAGGCTGGGTGCTTGTTGTTAAGACACTGAAATCTGTAGTCCACTCTGTGGCAGCCACAGGCCCCAGCTTCCTGAGGATTCTTGGCTGATGCTGGTCCTTCTTCATTCAATGTGGTGCTAGAATGGTGGTGCCAGAGCCCATTCTGAGTGTGGCTCCAGCTGACCATCCCTCCCCTCCAGCATCCCAAAACGTACACCTTCCCGGCATCCTCACGAGAGCAGGTAACAGATCATCCTATAAACGGCCTCCTACCTACCAGGCACTACTACAGGCATCTGCCCTTTAATAGCTAAGGCTACCAACACATCTACCCAATAAGGTGGGTGTTGTTATTCCCCCCCCCCCCACTGTACAGATAAGACATGGAAGTATTTCACAGCAAACAAACTGAAACTTAGGCTGCACAACGTGTGTATTCAATAATCACTGACCTCACATGCACTGTGGTTTCACAGAACCCCTCGGAGGCTCCATGCAGACGTTTTCCGTGGTGATAGAGCTGCCGGTCACCCTCCAGCTGTTTCTGACTCGTGATGAGCACATGCGTTACGGAATACGAAAGATGCCGGAGGGTTTTCTTAGCTGAAACACATCACCAGGACTTTCTTCTGTGGTTCTGTGGCCTGAGGGCCGTGGATTAGAAGTCACCCACCTTTGACTTGGTAGCATCACTTTCTCTCCACTAGGTCAACTGATCTCTCTGTTGGTGTTATTGTTGGTAAGTGCTGTCCAGTTGTAGGCTACTCATAGCGACGCTATGAACGAAAGTCCTCAACACTTGTGTCTCTCGTCCTCTCTCCAGGTTCATAGGGTTTCCGGAGGCAAGCTATTACAGAAGTGGATGCCACTCTTCCTTCCAAGCTTGTTTTAATTGGGGAGCTCCACCCCACACTGTCCACTATGTAGTTCCATTAGTTGGGTTCAAAGTGCCAATCTTTTTTTTTTTAGTGCCAATCCTTAGATTGTTGTTGTTCTTGTTGATTGCCAACAAGTTGAGCACAACTCATAGCGACCCTGTGAATAAAAGGTCTGAAGCCTAGATTAAGGCTCTGAGTGGCCAGGTCCTCCGCGGCCTTACAGGAAGGATGTAAGCTGTGGAGCTGTGCTTTCCAGGGTCCAAATTTGGCATCTAGAGGCCGCGTGTCCTTGGAATTCAAGTGTCAGGATCTTGGTATGATGAGTGTGTGACGGTAATGATGTAACTAACTACTGGCCATGGTCTCTGTGGGCTGCTGTTAGGGCTCTCAGGCGTTATCAAACGGACACCACAAGGAGCGAGCTGACTCTCCGACTTACCAAGGAGAGAACCCCGAGCCATGTTGTTGTTGTTGTTGTCAGGTGCTGTCGAGTCCCGTGTGACTCACAGCGACCCTATGAACAGCCAACCTGAACCCTGCCACGCTCCTCGTCTCTGACACACTAGAGCCCACTGCTGAAGTCACCATCCTGTTGGGGCGCGTTTCCTGTCCTTCACGGGCCATCTTTCCAAGCATGGTCTCCCTTTCCAAGGCCCAGCCTCATGTAGCTACATGTCTAAAATGTGAAAGACAAAGCTTCTCCAGGTTTGCCTCCACAGAGCACTCTGCCTGTGCCTTCTCTAAGACCTATCTGTTCACGCTTCTGGCCGCCCATGGGATACTCAGTGCTGCTCTCCAGCACCATAGCTCAATGGCATCAGTATCTTCCTCTGTCATCCTTAGTCACCGTCTGGCTCTCTGGTGCACAGCAGGTGTCTGAGAAGACCACAGCCTGGATCAGGCACACCTAGGGCTCAAATCCCAGCTCTGTCTCTGTCTAGTTGTGTAGCTGTGGGCCTCCCTTTCACAGTCTGGAGAAGAGGACTGGAGACGAGGAGGTGCAGAACAGGCACCTGGAGGCCTTCAGGTCAAATCTTAGCCCCGCCCTTTGCCACCCTTACACTCTTGCTGGGTTTCAGCCCATCGCCACAGTTACTGGGTCGATCCACCTCATTGAAGCACTTCCTCTGCTTCACTGACTTTCCACTTTTCCCAGCATGATGACCTTCTCCAAGGCCTGGACCCTCTTGACAACTTGCCCAAAGTATCTGCCATAAAGTCTCATGGTTCTTTGGACAGTCCGTGGGGTATTCTGTGCTCTTGGCCAACATCACAATTCAAAGGTTATGCTTTCCTTGGTCTTTCTTAGTCACTGTCCAACTTTCATGTGCACATGAAGCAATGGAAGACACCATGGCTCGGGTCTGGAGCTTAATGGATCAATGATGTTGGTATGGAGAGATCTCAAAAGAACCCAGGTTGCATGGCCTCTTTCTGTAGGTAGAGCAGCTGGGGCCCATACATCTCTTCTTCGATGCCTTCTGCGCACTTCCATTCCTTTGCCCAAACACTTTGTCTGGACGCACATTTGTTAGGGACTAAATCGCTCCCTGAGAGCCACCCTTGGCTATGACTGATGGACACTGGGGGACCAATATCCACGGCCCCTCAACCCTGAGCAAAAGGTGTGTGTTCTATGCTGCCTCCCTGAGTTTCCCAGCAAGACTGAGCCCCAGCTGCCCGAGGTGGACCTTGACTGACGACACCCTGTTCACCAGCTCCCCTCTTTGTCTCGCTTCCCGACTCCCCTTTCGCACTTCCTGGGATTATACTTCCCAGAGAAATTCCTGGCACTCAGATTCCTGTCGCAGGCTCTGCTTCTAGGGGAACTGAAAAGAAGCAAGCATTTTACGTGCCCTCCAGGTGTCTGAACATTCAGATCAAGACAGACTAGGAAGAAGGATTGGCCATCCACTTCTGAAATAGCAGGCCTCTGGAAACCCTATGTACAACAACACTTGTTATGAATCAGAGAGTTGGACAATGACCAAGGAGGATAGAAGGAGAATTGATGTCTTTGAGCTGTGGTGCTGGAGAAGAGTATTGAATGTACCATGGACTGCTAGGAAAACAGATTCATCCTGGAAAGGATTAAACCGGAAGGCTCCTTGGAGGCAAGGATTCTGAGGCTTCGTCTAACATACTTTGGACATGTTGTAAGGAGAGACCGGTCCTTGGAGAGGGACATCTGCTTGGGAGGGTGGAGGGACAGCGCAGGAGGGGAAGACCCTCTATGAGGTGGATTGATGGGGTAATAGGGATGGGAGTGTCAGAGACAGTGCGACTGGCACAGGATAGAGCAGAGTTTAGGGCTGTTGTACACAGGGTCGCTATGAGTCGCAAGCGACTCAACGGCACATAACAACAACCACAACCACCAGGTGTCTGAATTACAGACCTTAGGCAACTTGAGGCTTTATCTGAACTGAAGGATACTCGGTGCTGGCATTGCCGGGGTTTGGGCCACTTCCTCACTGGAAGACTACTTGGAAGAAGAGTTCATGATGAATCGCCGCCCGTGTGCCCTCCTCTACTGATGGGAGGCTTGATGCAGTGATCTGCCTGAGGTCACACAGCCCAAAGGGGCCGAGGCAGTGTTCCTACTGTGGTGTGAATGCACTGGGCCTGTGCTCTTGCCAGACCAGCTCAGTGACGTGGACCCAGGGTTACAGCCAAAGGGGGAAGTTCCAGGACAAGAATGCTGTGCCAGGGGTGCTTTCTGGATAGGTGGGGACCTCCCTGGTGACTGTCACACTGTCTGGCAGCCCTGGCTGGACCGTAGACACCTCTGAGGAATACGCGTAACTAAGGAATCTGGGGGCTTCCCATCTGAACGACAAGAGGTGGGTCCGGTGCATCTATTCACGTGAAGGATGCTTTCATTTGAATCTTCTCAGTGGGCAGCAGGGCTGGACGCACTGCTTGGAGGAACAAACCGGGGGATATGCTTCCTGTCCGTACCTCTCTTAGTACTGCTTGAGTGACCACTGCTGTGTTCGGTGCTCACAAGAGCCCCATCCAGGGACAGGAAAAGGACACTTCTTACGACAGGGAGGTGGGAGGTGCAGGATTTCAGTCTAGGTCCTTCTGGTGTCGAGGCTGACTCCTGAGACCTTAGGTCATTCTCTTCAGAGAGCTCAGGGCAGGTCCTGGAGCCAGATACCTTGGTTCAAATCCCAGCTCAACTCCTTGCTGGGGCTTCAGCAAACCACACCACGCAGCCCACCGGCACAAGCCTTTTTCACCTTCCTGTGCGCTGTGACTCCACAGTGGGCATCTGGGGAGGACTGAGAGTGTGGTTTATAAAAGCACACAATAAAAGAAAGCACTCAGGGCTCCAGGAGACCTGTTACAGCAATGCTGTTACCAAGATGTGAAATGTCCACGCGCATAGACCCTCTTCATCAACACATGGAGTAGCCCATTTCTGCTGCAGTAACTGACCCAGCTCTGGCTCTCCGTTGGGTTTCTGACGTTGTAAACGGCACAGGAGGGGATTTCTCAGCTTCCTCCCGAGGTGCCTGATGGGTTAGCAGCACAACCCCCACCGGCGTGGGCCCCCAGAGCCCCCGTCACCACCACCAGCATTTCAAAACAACAGCAGACTCACACTTCATTGTGAGGTTTCTGCAGCCCGTTGAGTGCAATATTGAAAACCAGGATTTTTACGGGAGACCCAGGCTATACCAAGTTATCCCGCAGGGGCCCTGCCGTCTGCATCGAGGTCCGGGGGGGCGCTGAGGTTCAGTGAGCGGCTGGTGAGTATGAAACCAAAACCTCACTCCCACCCAGTCGGTTCCCTACGAGTTCCAAGGCCGTACGTCTTCACTGACTCATCTTTTTTTGGATGGGTGTTTCAGAATTTATTCCATATACATGTTTCCTCTTCTCTTTACCTAATGGTTTGGGGAGGAGGGGGGGTTCTGTAAAGTATACAGATGCTTCTCTAATAACATCTTGCTTTGAGTTTTACAGTAACAGGTAAGAAACAGTAAGTATATTCTACTACATGTTAGATTATTTTCTCATTGCTCCTAGACTGCTTTTTAAAAAAAATATTTTTATTTTATTATTTGTGTGTGTGTGCCGTCAAATCAGATCTGACTGGTACAGGAGGAAATTGTCCCTCCTTCCTCGGCAGAGCATCTGGTGGATTTGAACCATGTACCTCTGGGACTGCAGTGCAGCTTCTTGCCACTAGGCCACCAGAGCTCCCCTAGACTGCTTTTTAAAATTTATTATTAATTTAGTTTGTTTATTTTTCATTTCAATGAACATCTACAGAGATTTTGGAATTCCATTCATTCATTGTTGCACCCTTCTCCCTGCACAAACCCCTCTCCCCTCCCCCCCAGACTGCTTTTTTGACACAATTTCTCTTCTACTTTAATTAAAGACAGCGTCCTTTGATGACTAGCAGGATTATCTCTGTATTTGTAGGTCTTCTTGCATACATGTGATTGAACTTATGGTTGAGAATATTAAGAGACTATGGATGCAAGAAAGAAAACAAGTGGAGACACAAAGTGCCTTGGCAGCCCTGCCACAGATCTGCCTGATTCTTTCACATCAGAAAGTTGATTTTTCTGGTCATTTCCGTGTTGTAGATCCTTCGGCAGGTCTCATAGCTTTCCCTCTGTCGCTGACATCATGGTTTTTCATAGTACCGCCTTCGCTTAATGTCTTCAGTGGGCCCGCCCACGCTGAAGATTCTGTCCAGGCTCCTGTGTGCACCTTCCACGTTGCCATCCGGAACCATCACAGTCAGTGGCAATGAATTTCAGATGTCTTGCCATGATCTGGGATTTAAGTCTCCACTCTCACAGCCGACTGCACCCCTTTCTTCGTCCCAGCACTTCACCCCCAGTCCTCAGCCCTCTCTCAATTCTACTGGGTCATCTTTCTCTCAAGGACCTTCTGGTGAGCAGTTCAATGTTTGGCCTATGGTGTGACCAGGGCTCCTGGACAACATAAAGATGCCATTTTTTTCTTCATCACATTTCATAGATCCCCTGAAGTCTGTCCACACAGACCCTCCATGGCCAACAGGGAACACTTGTTTTGGTGGGAGACAGAATCAAGTCAGAGGTTCATGACTTTGGTTAAAGACAAGAAAATGGAAAGGACTGGAACAGACGAGTTTAGAACACGGAGCATGTGCTGAAGGACATATTTACTCTGTAAATGTCAATGCAGTTATCTCCATGTACTTATTTTTGTTTTTTTTACTTTTCTTTTTTTCACCATGTACTTCTGATGACTGGACTGTACTGTAAAATGCACCTCTTAGGGCATAGTTCGATGCTGATGAATTGTATAAAAGCCAACGATTCAGAATGATTGTTCAAAACACAACATGAATGAAGGATAGTGTGAAACACAATGTATATAAACTTTGCAAGCAAACCAACAGAAAAGAAAAAAGTCTTAAAAAAAGTACCTCTTACTGTGGATTACGGTTAAAACAATTGGAACACCCTGGATTTAACCTCTCTGGATGAGTTTATATCTAAAAATGAATAATAAGCATTCCTCCCTACCAGATTGTAAGAGGAAGAATCTAAGGAAATATGTGCTCACAAAATAAAACTTGAAACGGCTGACTAGCACAAGAACCTCGAGGGGGGGTCCCTGGCCGTGGGCTTGACATTCAAGTCCCCAGTGGGGCTGGGAGTTCAAGGCCAAGTGGGCTTGAGACGTTCAAGTCCCCAGTGGGGCTGGGAGTTCAAGGCCAAGTGAGGAGGCCACACCAGCACCCAAGTGCCACCCTCCCTTCCTTCCCACCGGCAGCACCAGCCCAGCCATACTTACCAGAATCCCAAAAGCCATGACCTTCAGCACACATTCCAGCGAGAAGAGGGAGGTGAAGACGATGTTGAACACCCTCAGAGCATTCTCATAAGCAAGCGAGGCCCCGTAGAACTAGAAGCAGAAGAAAGGATGGGCAAGGGTCAGCTGGGGGCAGAGAGAGAGCTTTAAGGCAGGTCTAGGGCTGTAACACTGGAGATGCTTATAGACCCAGAAGGTGTCCATCCTTAGAGACAGATGTGACAGCAGGAGGGTGGAAGGCAGGAGGTCTGTCTGAGGGGGCTGAGAAGAGGCCTGAACTGCCGGGAGGGGTCTACACAGCAGGAGAGAAAGCCTGTTTGCTAGCCAAGCAGAGAGGAGCTGAGGGAGCTCTCCCGGTCAGAGGACCCTTCTAGACTTTGCCTACATGCTTCCTGGTCCTGTTCATGAGCCCTGTTGTTTCTATTCCTGAGCAGTACTTGGTTATTTTCTTCATAAACTGGTCTGTGAGTTCTGTGTGGCCATTGCAATGGGTTTTGACTGGAGCAGAGAAGTAGAGAGTGCTGTGGGAGTAATGGCTGGTGTTTGGTAAAAAGCTTGGGGAGTGGAGGCTTTGTCTCACCTCAAGCTCACTGGGATTTTGACTTGCATGATTCCCCTGATGTTAGATGGTTCTGCCACGACTATTACTTTTTAGAGAGATAGCTATTCAAGACTTTTGTCCCTCCAAAGTCTTTGTAAATTTCCATTAAAATTAATAATAATAATAATAATAATACAAAAAGGACTTTTATCCCTTAAAAAAAGAATTTGTTTTTCTCTTCTTGTTCTCTTTATTTTGCTGACCTGTGATACACACACTCAGAACAAGAGTTAGAACTTCCCCAGAATCCCAGGAAATCTCTCTCCTGATAACACAATCTCAGATTTCCTCTGGAAGATTTTCCCCAACTACTTCATCAGACTCAAATCCAACCTTTAGATCTAACTTTCAGGACCACTACCACAAGGAACAATATTTTCTAGAAGGTTCTTCATCAGTCAACAGATTGATAAATGAAAGGTTTAGGGAGGATAGAGACTGAAAGACAAAACCTCAAGGTCAGGCTTTTATTATTTTGCAGAAGCTATTTTGTGGACAACTGAGGATCTATCTATCACCTATCTATCTATCTATCTATCTATCTATCTATCTATCTATCTATCATCTATCTGTATCTAAATTATTCCTAATCTCTATTACTGTTGAGCCAATTTAGACTCATAATGACCCTCCACTGTGTTTCTCAGGCTGTCAATCTTTGTGTGAAGACTGCTCATCTTTGTTCTACAGAGCGGTTGGTGGATTTGAACTGCTGACGTTTTGGTTGGTACCCACCAGGCTCAACAACAATGGGCGTTAAGCCTAGAAGAGACTGCGGGGATAGTGCAGATCAGACAGGTGTCGTTCAGCTGAGCACAGGGTCGCTGGGAGTCAGAGCTGAGTTGATGGTCCCTAATAACAGCAGTATTGCTAATCTTAGGAATGATAAGACAGTGGAGGAAATGTTTCCATTTTTAGCATGCACCCTAATGTGCTTGTTGTTGTTGTTGTACTGGAGAGTTAGAACCGACTCACAGCAGATCCTCTAATTGAATCTGAAAAGAATTGCCTATTCTCCTTTGGAGTGGCTGGTGACCTCGAACCATGTGCCTCTAGGACTGCAGCGCAGCCTCTTGCCACTAGACCATCAGAGCTCCTCATACTAATGTGCTAAGGGGTGAAATATTAAGGGTGAAATAATGTGGTGTCTGTGCTCTGGTGGCCTAGTGTTAAGAAGCTGTGCTGCAATCCTGAAAGCCGCCAGCTGTTCCGTGGGAGAAGGATGGACAATCTCCTCCCACGTGATTAACAGCCTCTGAGGCTCAGCTATGGATTGTTTCTACTGTGAGGTACACCACCACCACCACCACAATAACATAGTTTAAAAGAAAAGAAGGGTTGATGCACTCGAATTATGTGTATGAGCAAAGAATATTAAAAATTGAGTGCCAGAAGTATAAACAAGTCTGTTGTGGAACAAATGCAGCCAGACTGCTCCTTTGAAGTGTGGACTGGCGACACTCTGTCTCGTGCCATTTGGACATGTTATTAGGAAGGACTTGAAGAGGGTCAGCAAGAGAGGAAGCCCCTCAACAAGGCAGATCATCACAGCGGCGGCAACGGTGGGCTCAAACACAGCATCAGCGAGGCGGAGAGCACAGGACCGGCTGGGGGTTTGCTCTGTCACACGCAGAAGGCCGCCGGGAGTGGGAACTGACCCAACGGCACCGAACAACAAGAGCTGTTACAAACACCCTCTAAAGCAGATGAAATGCCCAGAATATAGATCCATTCAGGATAGACTGGTGGTCCAGAGGCTGCGGGGAAAAGCAGTTCTTGTGTCATGAGTACAGAGTTTTATTTGGGGTAGATGGAAAGGTTCTCAAACCAGACAGACGTGGTAATTGCAAACTATGGTGACGGTTCTAAATGCCACTGTTGTACATGTTAAATGGATTAATTTATTTTTTAAAGTTGCTTTATTTTATTTTATTATTTTTGTGTGTGTATCGTCAAAGCGGATCTGACTAGTACAGGAGGAGATTGTCCCTCCTTCTCCAGCAGAGCATCTGGTGGATTTGAACCGCTCACCTCTGGAATTGCAGGGCAGCTTCCTGTTACTAGGCCACCAGAGCTCCATTTAAATGGATTAATTTTGTTATGTGACTCTCACCTCAAAAAAAACCAAAGAGCAACAATGAAAAATACCAAAGAGAATAAAATGTTCCGAAATGAGGTAAGGGAAGCTCAGGGGGCGCCCCTGGGACCAGCAGCATTGGCGTCACCTGGACACTTGTTAGAAACACAAAGTTCACAGCCCCACTGGACCTGCTGGACCAGAATCACACAAAGTTCACAGGGTGCCCGGATGATCCACGAGCTCACGAGAGGCTGAGAAGCACTGTGCTGCGTGGACTAGTTGCTTGGAAAGGTGGAGGGTCAGAGCTGGGCTTGCCTCAGACCTCTGATGTTAAACCGCACGGCAGGAAGTTAGGACTTTTCACCCTGAAGGGGCGTGGTGATCCTCAAGGGCCTAGAAGTTCAGGGGCGAGCGGCAGGTATTGGGCTTCCTGGGGCCGAGGAGGCAGTCTGCTAGATACAGAACTGTGCCAGGTAAGATAACGGACAGAGGCTGTTTTGTAGAGATGGTGTTGGGGAAGTCAGGGAAGGCTTCCTGGAGGAGGAGCCAGCTGAGGTGCGGAGGGAAGGGCTGTGCGTCAGGTGGAGGCCGTGGCTGGTGCAGAGCTGAGGCAGATTGGGGCCTGCCTGGGAAGGGCAGACAGTCGGCTGTGTCGGGGGTGAGGAGGGGTGAGGACAGAAGCAGAGCTGGGGAGGCGCAGAGCTGGGGACGGGAGGGTCTCGGCAGCAGGACGGGCAGGGGGACTCACCTTCATCATGAGCACAATGGTGTTGAGGGCGATCATGGCCATGATGGTGTACTCGAAGGGCGGCGACACCACGAACTGCCACATGCGGTACTGGAAGCTCTGCTTGTTCTGCGGCATGTGCCGTGTCAGCGGCTTGGCGCTGATGGCAAAGTCAATGCAGGCCCTCTGCGGGAGGAGGGAGACGTCAGGAGCGGGGCCGTGGGGCCCCAAGGGTCCCCTCCAGGCTGTCTGCTGGAATTTCCACCCACCCTGTCCCCAGCAGGCTTCCCAGAGTCTGCCCCTCGCCGCCTCGGCTTTCTCCCCACCTGCAGTCACCTGGGAATTCACCTCTACCGAACCCCGAGCCCCTCTGCCCCCATGCATCTCCTCAGCACATATGATCAACAGCTTCACTTTGCAAATGAGAAAAACAGAGGCTTTGAGAAGTGAAGCCACTTGGCTGAGGTGACAGCCTTCAAGTGGGGCGATTTGGAATTTAAACCAGAGATTCTTTTTTTTCCCCCCCTCTGATATTCCTTACTAATTCTATGGTAGTAATTTTCTTTTTCCTTTTTTAAATTATTGTTAATTTTAATGAAAATTTACAGAGACTTTGGATTTCCATTCATTCATTGTTACACTTTTCTCCCTGCCCACCCCTCCCCCCTAGTACACTCTTCTCTTTGAAAAGTAAATGAAAAATTCTTTCATTGTTTTACAATCCCTCCTCCCAGGTCCACTCCACTATGCAGGCTTTCCTCTGGACTCCTGTCATGACAAAAATACCTAATCACATATCCCTTTTAAACAGTTTTCTCTCTCATCTGTTTCAATGCAGTATACATTATTTACCCCATCTTTCTCAGTCTCCCCCTAACTTTGATGTCAGTCTTGTTTTACAACAGTGGCACCATGCAGTATTTGTCCTTCAGAGACTCATTTTAGAGCTTAACCCCTGTGCTTCCCTGCCCTCTCTTTCTCACTGAATGCTGCTTTTCCTCCTCTTTGATGGAGGGAAAGCAGAAGCATGGTGGTTCTTAAGTCCCTGGGCTCAGCAGCAGAGTAGAGGACAGCTGCTGGACTCTTCTTTGAGGCTGGATGAGGTCAGAAGGGCAGAGGGTCATGCCTGTGCCCCCTGGGGGGTGTATTTTCATTCATAAATATGCACCACTCCTCCTTGAGGGAGGCTATACGTGCTCTATCTCAGTGACATCAGGCGTGGACGTGTGACTTGTTGTGGTCAATGAACTGTGAGCATTAATGACATGTATCACTTCTGGGCACAAGGCCAAAGAGCTGGTGCAGGGCTAGTCACACCCTCTTTGATCTTCAATATCTCAGCGAGTCTGCACTGACAGTCCAGGGACCAAGAGAGGGATGTCACGGAGCAGAGTCACGGCTGACTTGCAGTGGACAGGCACCACTCAAGAAATGAATGTCTCTGTGGAGGTCTGCAACTGAGGAGCTGGGGCTGCCTGTTTCTGCCACACATCTTGTCTGAACCGACCGACACTAGAGTGTTTGGTTACATCCCATGAAGAACTTTGCAGACCGGCCTCTGCTCGGAGGATGCTGTCACTCCCTCCCGAGAGGCTCCAAGCTGCTTCCTCGGTGTGTGTGTGTGGGTTGGGTGAGGGGCAGTACTTAACCCCAAAATCCATGGCTGTAGCATCAATTCTGACTCACAGCAACCTTCTACGTCAGAGTGGAGCTTCCTAATAGGGTTTTCAAAGCTCTAATCTTTGTAACCTTTTAAACCTGGAGAAAGGACCAAAGGGTCGCTATGTTCATAGGGTCGCTATGAGTCACCTACGACTCAACAGCACTTAACAACAACAACAGCAGAGAGAGAGAGAGAGAGAGAGAGAGAGAGAGAGAGAGAGCGAGTAGCTGGCCTAGCGGACAGAAAGCCATGTTCCCAAGCCAAAGGTGGGCGACTCTATGCTGCGGCCCTTGGGCCTGCCTTTCATTGTTTTGGGTGAAACATTCTTCTAGGTCATATAGCCCTGGTCTGTCCACCTGCTGTACAGACGTAACTCATGGTTGCTGTGAAGCCGAACAATGTGACACTGACGTGTCAAATGCAAGAATGGTTCCCCATGGTGGACAGTGTTTGGTGGTGCTCCTCGATTAAAACAAGCTTGGAAGCAGGAGTGGCATCCACTTCCGTAATAGCTTGCCTCTGGAAACCCTATGAACCTGGAGAGAGGATGAAAGCAATACAGGTGTCCAGGTCTTCGTTCATAGGGTCGCTATGAGTCACCTGCGACTCAACGATACTTTACAACAACAACAACAACAATCTTTGTGGAAGCCAAGTTGCTCCAATTTTCTCCTATGGAGGGGCTGGTGGGTTCGAACTGCTTGTCTTAAGCTGCAGTCAAGCCTTTAACCAGCCAGCCACCAGAGGTCCTGGTGAGCTCTTGAGGGGCGGGGGCTGCAGTTGGGGAGTGGCACCTCGTTTTTCTCCAGGCTGTACTCCTCCATCATCTTGTCCCCCTGCTCCTGGAAGGTGATGATGATCAAGGCCACAAAGATGTTGACGAAGAAGAAGGGAAACACCACAAAGTAGACCACGTAGAAGATGGACATCTCCATGCGGTAGCCGGGGCTCGGGCCCTGGTTCTCAAAGGTGGCGTCCACGGAGTGCTTGAGGACCCTGCGAAGGGCGGGTGAGGGAGGGGAGGCCAGGAGCAGAGAGGAAGGAGGTGAGGAGGGTAAGGAAAGGATGAGGCGGACAGGACGTGGGAGTGGAGGAAAATATTAGGAGGAAACGGAACGGTTATTCTCTGCAGACCTAAGTCTTCCCGTCTCCCTGAGCACCAGGCACTTCATCCGCCGCACACAGAGGCGCCAGCATGTGTCAGATACAGGGCTCCACGTCTTACTAATTCTCCAGCAAGCATCTCGGGGAGAGAGGCTCTATTCTGCACTTGAGGAAACTGAGGTTCTGCAATAGAATGTGACTTTCCCAAGATCTGATAGCTTAGTCTCTAGGGAGTCGTGCTGTGAATCCAGAGGCTGTGCATTTCTGCTGGTTCAAACTCACCAGCAGCTCTGAGGAAGAAAGATGAGAATCTCTTCCTGTGAGATTTACAACCTCAGAAACCTGACGGAACATCAGCTATGAGCTGGTTCCAACGCACTGAGAGTTTTCAGTTTCTGAGATCATCCACTCAGAAGACTTGAAGTCTGAAGGCAGGTTTTACAGGGATGGAGGAGGAAGAAGTATGAGGCCATGGACGCAAGTGTTAAGGGTGGGGGTCTCTCAGTGCAGGTGGAGGTGGGCCCTGAGGTAGGGCACTGGGGATGTGCATGGGGGTGTGTACAGCTGGCGACTACAGTTGTCAAGGTGTGCACCGCTCAAAGGTTTGGTGTTTAAGGGACATCAGTCACACTTAGAACATACAAGAGTCACGTGTCCATTGTGGTGGCTTTTTGGTTCAATGGTCACAAAGTACCTTGTTTTTAAATACACCACAAGAACTTTTTAACAGCAGTTGACAGAGATGCACTTTTTTTTTTTTTTTACAACTGAGCCATCAGTTTATTAACCCTGTTACAAAAGAAAAAGGTTGGGCTAGTCTTTGTGACCCCATGCTGGCTTCTAGCCATTACGTTGTTCTTTTTCTAGGGATATGAAGATCTTCCTGTCACTTGCTGGTCTTAGTTAGATTTCATTTGGTTTCAAGGACCATAAGCTACTCAAATAAGCTTATGGGAAAAGGGGAAATTAGTTATATAAATATGAGGGTCTCTTATAAGACTCAAAGACATTAAGGGGACAGTAGGCCCCTGAGGGCTCAGGAAAAAGTACATGATTTTTATTACTGTCACTGTGACTAGGAGAGGAACAGAGAAGCACCTTTTCAATCTTCCGCAAAGGTACTTTACAGATGGTCCTAGCCCGCGTTGGTGGGTCCTGGGTGTGTCTGTGTGTGAGGTGGGAAGAAAGCACATTTGGGTTGTTGTGTTTGCTGGGAGAGGAGGGAGGACGCTGAGGGAACAGGCTGAAATCTACCGGGTTTTCTAATGGGTATTTCTGTGCCCACAGTGGAGGACTTAAGAGTTCAGTGAAGCACAGCATAAAAGGCATAGAAAAAAAGGATTCAGTCATGAAGTTAAATCACCATTTATGGTAGTATTTTAGAGAAATAAAAGTGAATGCCAAAGAGTCCTCAGTGAACAAAACATGAACATTTTAAATAAAGACGGGACCTGCTCACTCAGTCCCTGCTCTGACTGGGAGGAAATGGTCCTGGTGAAACGGACCTGGAAGAGCCCCAGTGGACACCTCACTGTGGAGGTGATGATGCTGACAGCAGAGGGAGGGGCGTGTGGGGTCTGGTGCCTGCACACGGAGTGTCTATCTCTGAGCGAGATGTGGAATGGGGCAGAGAAGAGAAAGCCAGTGCTCAGGGTGTGGAGAACAGCCCCGGGGGGGTCAGCAGGCCCCCAAGGTGGGAAGTCAGGAAGGAAGCCCCCTCTCAAGACCTCCTGTGGGTCGCAGGCTATCACTGCTCCCGCGCTGCCCTCCCCGCCGGAACGCCCACGGAGCTCCCCACTTACTGTGGCCAGCCCTCGCCCGTGGACACGGTGAAGAGGGTCAGCAGAGCCCACAGCACGTTGTCGTAGTGGAACTCATACTTCTTCCACTCTCGATCGCGGGCTTTCACCTCATTCTTCTCATAGAGGAGATACTTGCCGCTGTACAGAGAGGGGGGCTGTTAGTCTGCTAGTGGGGGGCCTGGGGTGGCTCTGGGCACCAGGGACAGGAGGAGGAGGAGGAGGAAGGGCGGGCCCTGCACTGCCTCTGTGGCTTGAAAAGGTGGAGACCCTGCCATTCCTCATTTTGAAACACATCCGCTGTAAAGGTGTCAAATGAGAGACTGGACACACATTAGCAAGTGTAGTGCACCCTTTCTCAAGAGAACTCAACCTCCCTTTTCATTTGAGGGTTGAGATCTCCAAGCTGATAGAGGTGGAGGCTAGAAGCTTTAGCATCAAGTTTAGGATCATTGTGGGAGACTGTGGGTGCAGCCACGTGGTGTACTGTGGAAGGGATCTAACTGCGGGGTATCTAGAGACATGCTAGAGAGGATTTTATCAGGTCAGACAACCTGACTCCCATAGGGAGCATCCACCTTGTTGCCACAATGAGCGAGCGTGAGCTTCGGCACCTTTGAAGACCGGTGCAATTTATGTAAGTCAGATTTGACAGAGGGAACTACCCTAATTGATTTAAAAAACCTGAAACGCTTGCCGCAGAGGGTCAAGGACTGCAGCTTTCAATATGGATTGAGGATCAATGTCAAGAAGACAAAGATTCTCACCACTGGACCAATTGGCAGCATCAGGATGGATGGTGAAGAGATTGAGATTGCTCACAGCTTTAGTCGGCTTGGCTCCACAATCAACACTCTTGGCACCAGCAGCCAGGAAATGAAAAGACGTATTATGATGGGGAAAGTCTGCTCTTAGGGACCTCTCTACTGAAGAGCAATGGTGTCATTCTGGAGAATAAGGTGCATCTGATACAGGTCATGGTCTTTGCAATCACTTGTTATGCATCAGAGAGTTGGACAATAACTAGGGAGGATAGAAAGAGAATTGATGCCTTTGAGCTGTGGTGCTGGAGAAGAGTATTGAGGGTACCATGGACTGCTAGGAAAACAAACAGATTCATCTTGGAGAGGGTTAAACCGGGAGGCTCCTTGGAGGCAAGGATTCTGAGGCTCCGTCTAACATACTTTGGACATGTTGTAAGGAGGGACCGGTCCTTGGAGAGGGACATCATGCTTGGGAGGGTGGAGGGACAGCGTAGGAGAGAAAGGATTTCTATGAGGTGGATTGATTCAGTGACTGGGGTAATTGTGGTGGGTGTGTCAGAGACAGTGCGATTGGCACAGGACAGAGCAGGTTTTAGGGCTGCTGTACTTAGGGTCGCTATGAGTTGCAAACGACTCAACAGCACATAACAACAACAACAACAACAACAACTATGTTTTGTGGCTTTTGTGCACTGTTAAACTGGAGATGACCCATGGCTGAACCTCCAGCGGATTTTCAAAGGCAGTAAATTACCTGAAGAGGTAGAAGAGGAGATTGTCCATCCTTCTCCCACAGAGCAGTTGGTAGCTAATGCATTCGAAACACATGCTTTTAAGATTGCAGTTCGGTTTCTTACCACTAGGTTACCAGAGCTCATCTAACTATAATGGGGCTAATTAGACCCCCGTGGAGGTAGGGGTAAACTGGCAGCACTTAGTAGGCAAAGACAAGGTGGGCTTGGTTACCATAACGGAAAACAGAGACAAAGCAAGTAATCAGAATCGTCTGATTTGTATGGACTTACGGTGTTGGTTACCTGAGTGAAACACATGGAAATCTACTAAATATTTACTCCATCTGAATAATTCACATGAATTCTTCATGTGAAAGAAAGTCTAACTCAAATGGAAAGAACAGAGAGTCAAGGTCACCGAATTAATTCCCAGGCTTGCGTCAATTCAGAAACCTGTAAACCCTTGAATGAAAGGGCAGGCTGGGTCTCCTTGAGGAAGGACCACACTACAAAATTTATACTATCAATCTTTCTCCCAGCCTTCCCCAAAGGAATCTATGGCCTTTGACAAGAGTAACTGCTCACTGGGGAAAGAAACTAACCACATTTCTGGAGGATCACTAGACGCTGGCTCTGAACTGACATTAATTCCAAGAGATTCAAGATGCCCCATCAGTCAGAGGAGTCTTATCTCACAGTGGATACAGTCGATCCATCGTATAATGATTTCCCCAGTGTCAGAAGGCACAAGGGGAACTAGCAGAACATTCACGAAAGACTCCTGACATTAGGAGTAATGGTGATTGGGGAGGGAAATCAAAGTAGGGTAATCGTCCCTACTTCAGAAATCAAAAGCAATATTGCATTCCTGCAGGACTGCAGAAATTAGTGTCACCATCAAAGACCTGAAGGATGCAGGAGTGGTGATACCCACCACATGTCCACATCTATTTGTCTCATCCTTTGGTTGAGAGGAAGACCCTCAACCAGGTGGATTCACACAGTGATGCTGGAACGGGTTAAAGTGTGTCAGAGGCTGTGAGGGCGGCACAGGGTAGGACAGGGTTCAGCTCTGTTGTTCACAGGGTCGCTAGGGGTCATCCTCAACCTGACAGCACCAAACAACAACAATTTGGTTTGTACAACAACATGAATAGAGCTTCTCAGTGAATTACTATAAACTTATTCAGATGGTGATTTTTAATGCAGCAGCGGTTCCAGATGCATTTTCACAGAGCAGATGAAAACATCTCCTGGTATGCATGTCCATCATTTTATTTCAATTCTGGTTTCAAAGGTTTATCAGAAGCAATCTGTCATTAGCTAGGGAGGCCAGCAGTACACTTCCACTGTCCTACCTCATTGTTGTTGTTGTTATGTGCCATCGAGTCGCTTGCGACTCATAGCGACCCTATGTACAATAGCCCTAAACTCTGCTCTGTCCTGTGCCAATCGCACTGTCTCTGACACTCCCATCCCAATTATCCCAGTCACTGAATCAGTCCACCTCATAGAGGGTCTTCCCCTCCTGTGCCGTCCCTCCACTCTGCCCAGCATAATGTCCCTCTCCAAAGACCTGTCCCTCCTGGCAACATGTCCAAAGTATGTCAGGAGAAGCCCCAGAATCCTTGCCTCCAAGGAGCAGCCTGGTTTAACCCTCTCTAGGATGAATCTATTTGTTTTCGTAGCAGTCCATGGTACATTCAATACTCTTCTCCAGCACCACAGCTCAAAGGCGTCAATTCTCCTTCTATCCTCCCTAGTTATTGTCCAACTCTCTGATGCATCACAAGTGTTGCAAAAACCATGGCCTGTATCAGGCACACCCCACTCTCCAGAGAGACACCGTTGTTCTTGAGTACCTGAGAGAGGTCCTTAACCGCAGACTTTCCTATCATAATACATTTTTTTTATTTCCTGGCTACTGGTGCCAAGAGTGTTGACTGTGGAGCCGAGCAAACTGAAGCTGTGAACAATCTCAATCCTACCTCATAGGTAAATAAATTCTCTAACTTTGTGTCATAATTTAGTCTATAAGGACCTTAATCACATTTTCTTTTCACAAGATATAATACTGGCTCATTAAATTGATGACATTATGCTGATGGAACCTCATTAGGGAGAAATACCAAGGACTCTAGACTTAATATAGGACATGTGCTAGAAGGTAGAATATTAACCCAATAAAATTCAGGTGCTTTTCACCTCAGTGAAATTACTAGGGGCCTAGTGGTGTGGGCTGGAAGCAGGAGCGGCATCCACTTCTGAAATAGCTTGCCTCCGGAAAATCTATGTACGAACAGTTCTCAGGCCGTTTGTTCATAGGGTCACTATGAGTCACCTACGACTCGACGGCATCAAACAACAACAACAACAGTGGTGTGGGACACACTGAGATACTCCTTTTGAGTGAAGGTTAAGTTGTTGCATCTGCCTTCAGTTAAAAAGGGGGCACAACAGCTGGCAGAACTCTTTGGATTCTGCAGGCAATGCACCCCTCATTTTAGTGTCACTCGTCAATTTTAGCCATAATTTGTTATGGTTCCCACAGTCAAACACCTTTGCATAGTTAAAGCATAAAATCCCCAAGATTATGTATTGACTTGATGAGGCCAGGATTGTCAATGGTTTGGCAGTCATGTAATAAAGCAATTATCTTTCATTTTTATGTGATTTGATATGATGTGTTATTTTCTTGGGGTGTGGTTTGCGCCCAGTATATATGGACATTCTGGGAAAGGGCTTTTTTGGGAAAGGTTTTAGCTTGCCCTAGATCCTGCGTTTGTCTCATCATCATCTGACTTCCAGTTTGTGAGATTGGAACCAACAGCCTGCCTCACTGCATGCCGATCTTGGGATTTGTCAGGCGCCGCAGTTTATAAGCCAGCTGCCTGCCGTCTGACCTGCTGATCTTGGATTTGTTAGCCCCTCCAGCTACATGAGTCAAGAGAAGCTTCTAGCCTGACACAGAACCTTGAGGCTTGCCAACCTATACAGCCACGTAAACAATTTCCTTGACAGAAAGTTCTCTGTTTTTACATAGGCTTCAGACTTTCTGCACAGAGGTAACTTGAGGTTGCTGTGAAGCTGAACACTGTGATACTGATGTGTCAAATACGATAATGGTTATCCATGGCAGACAGTGTTTGGTGGAGCTCCCTGATTAAAACAAGCTTGGAAAAAAAACAAACAACAAGCTTGGAAGCAAGAGAGGCATCCACTTCCATAATAGCTTGCCTCCAGAAACCGTATGGACCTGGAGAGAGGACGAAAGTCACACAAGCATTGAGGACTTTTGTTCATAGGGTCGCTATGAGTCACCTACTAATCAATGGCACTTAACAACAACAACAACAACAACAACAACATCAACTCATTGTTTTTTCTTTGGCAGAGATCTCAATCTAAGACACTCTGAAAATGGGACTTTCTCCTGGCTCAGGTTTGGTTAAGTTATAATCTACTGCCCCAATATGGCCTGCCTCTTGCTTGTGCCCATCTATGAGAAAAAAATGGTCTTCATATTTTTAAATGGCTGAAAAAAAATTTTGTTTCGTAACAGGAAAAAAAAATCACATGAAATTGAAAGTTTCCGTTTCCAGGAATAAAGCCCCACTCTTCATTCTGATGTATCACATGAGGCTGCTCATGCGCCATGATGTCAGGGCTAAGTGGTCCCAACAGACTGTACAACCCAATGGAAACATCATTTGGCTCTTTAAGAAAAAAATGTGCCTGATTCATTCGGCAGCAAAACCTGACTTGAGGATGTAATTCTCTTTATAACTCTTATTTATCTTACTTGATTCAAATAGTCACGTTTCACTGTAGAAATAAAGTGTCTGATCACAGGAGTGCCTTAGGCTCAGTTGTCCTATGTGGTATACAGATTGTACAAACTGTCTCAAATCAAGCCAATGCTGAATTCTAAGATATACCAGACTCCGAAGGTTTCCGATAAAGAGCTGTGGGTATGGACTGATATCCCCAACTTGACAAGGCTGGTGATGGCAAGATTCAGGAACCAGCTTACGGCTCATCCCGTTCTAGTGACCAGTGACTCAAGTTCCCAAACACTCTGGCTTTCTTCTCTAGACCCAAGCCGCTTGCAGTCAGATTACTCCCAACACCTGCTACGCTAATTGCACAGTGCCCACCCACTAGCCCCGAGGGGGACACCTGGGAGGTGGAACCTACCGACAGTCCTTCTCAAACTCTTTGGATTCATCCGTGCAGTGGAAGAACTTCCCCTTGAAGAGCTGCACAGCTACCACAGCGAAGATGAACATGAACAGCATGTAGACGATGAGGATGTTGAAGACATTTTTGAGTGAGTTCACCACACAGTCAAACACGGCCTGGTGGGGGCAAGAGAGGCTGTGAGGCTGGAGTGCTGTCACTTCCGGCTGCCCCTAAGACCAACGAAGGACCTGGCCTGTGTCCTTCACAAGGCTACACAACCCTGAGAGTGGTGGGTCGGGACTCAGACCAGTGCATCCTCGCATCTCATAAACCCTGGACACTGGGGTCACTTCTGAGCCTCTCAGAAGCAAGCTCACGGCTCTTTACTAAACCTTTCTTATTAATCACATGCTGATCCCAGCTGCATCCCCCACTCCCAACCACCCCCAATCTCCTTCCTTTACCCTGAGGCCAGTCAATGCTCACTGGATTTAAGAGATGACTCTGTGTGTTAGTTAATATTAACTAGTCAACTTGACTAGGCTGTGGTGCCCCATTGTTTGGCCTGGTCTAGTTGCTGTTGTAAACTAGTTAGATATGATCAAAACAACAGGTCTCGAATGAAGTATATTAACTTCCATGTCCCTGGAAGGCTTCAATCAATCAACTGAGCAAAACAGGTTTCCTTTTTAGAGTTTCCTACCTCTAGAATATAATATACAATATACAACATATAATATAATAAATATAATATAAAACATAATATAATATAAAACATAATATAATATAAAATATAATATGATATATATGTAGTTGTTGATTATCTTCGAGTCAAGCACAACTCCATGACCCCAGAACAAAAGGGCTGAAGTCCCTCTACAACTATTAACATTTATCAAAGTTCATAGAGTTTCCGGAGGCATGTTGTTTAGGAAGTGGATGCCACTCCTGCTTCCAAATCAATCAATCAATCTATCTATCTACCTACCTACCTACCTATTATCTATCTATCTATCTATCTATGTATATATACATATATGTATATATATCTAGAGTATAGAAGTTATCATTTTGTTTTCACTTAGGTATTTTAGTAGTTATAAAAATAGTTTTAAACTCTAATGGTATGTTTCATGATCCTACATGTCTTTTAAAAGAAATATTAAACTTTAAGTGGCATATTTCAATAATGACAAGCTTGGAAGCAGGAGTGGCCTCCACTTCGAAACAGCTTGCCTCCAGAAACCCTATGAACTTGGAGACACGATGAAAGTTACACAAGAGTTCAGGTCTTTCATTCATAGGGTTGCTATGAGTTGTCTATGACTTGACGGCACTTAACAACAGCAATGACAGACAGATAGACGATAGATAGATAGATAGATAGATAGATAGATAGATAGATAGATAGATAGATATGTTAGGTGCCATCAAGTCGACCATGATTCTATGAACAGATCTGAGCCTTGCCCCAGCCCAGGCCACTCTCACAATCTCTGATACACTCCAGCCCATTGTTAGTCACTGTGTCAAGCCATCTCGTTGAGAGTCCTCTTTTTCTCTCACCCTCCACCTTTCCCAGCATGATACCCTTTCCTCAGGACCAGCCCCTGCTGACAAACAGCCCAAAGCATGTGTGACAAGGTTTTCCCCCCTGGCCTCTAAGGATCACATTGGCTACACTTCCTCAAGGAAGGCTTGTTTGTTCTTTGGCGGACTTCAGGTTCCCCCACACCGCACGTTAAAAGCAGCACTTCTTCTGTCATCCTTACTCACTGGGCAACTTTCAGATGCAAAGTTGTTGTTGTTGTTATGTGCCGTCGAGTCGCTTGCGATTCATAGCGACTCTATGTACAACAGCCCTAAACTCTGCTCTGTCCTGTGCCAATCGCACCGTCTCCAATACACCCATCCCGATTACACCAGTCACTGAATCAATCCATCTAATAGAGGGTCTTCTCCTCCTGTGCTGTACCTCCACCCTCCCAAGCATGATGTCCTTCTCCAAGGACTGGTCCCTCCTTACAACATGCCCAAAGTATGCCAGACGAAGCCTCAGAATCCTTGCTTCCAAGGAGCAGCCTGGTTTAACCCTCTCTAGAACGAACCTGTTCATTTTCTTAGCAGTCCTTGGTATATTCAACACTCTTCTCTAGCACCACAACTCAAAGGCATCGATTCTCCTTCTTTCATCCCTAGTCATTCACTGTCCAGCTCTCTGATGCATAGTAAGGAATGGCAAAGACCATGGCCTGGATCAGGTGCACCTTAGTCTTCAGATGTATAGAAGCAATTGAAAAGGCTATTCACTGAAAAGGCTATCTTTCTTCCCCTCCCCAGAGACTCTTACCTTTCAGCCTTCTCATTGCCCAGCCCATGGATTTTGCACTTTCCCTGAAGGAAACCTCTGCCTACCTTCTATCTCTGCATCTTCTATTCATGTACGTCCGTATGTATATATCTATGCCTGTCTGTCTCTGTCTATCAGTCTCTATTTCTACTGAGAATCCTAAGACAGCAATTTCTGCACTGGGAAGGATGGAAAGGTCCCATCCAGAGGAGAGACTGGGGTCTCGGCCCAGACTGTTCCAGTCTGCATACCTGTGACTGCAGAATTGCAACTGCCCTTCAGACTCTGCTGGGGTTCTTCAGAGTGGCCTGCCTGGTTCCACTCCTGACCAGAGTGGTTCTTTTCCACAAGCAGACATCAAGGATGGTTGAACATCCTGGGGTTTCAGGCAGGCTTTGGTGTCTTCGCTTATAGTCAAGAGAACAGGCATGTGGGAGGCCCACTGCAGGCACCTGTATGTGGTTACATTCTAATACCAATGTCTCATTGTCTTTGAATTGATACTTCATTTTATTTCTATTAATAATGACTCTCAATCTTGCTTGCTAAAAGTGAGGACGACTTGACGCACTTATTGCAGAAGATCCAGGGATGCAGCCGTCAGTATGGATTGCATCTCGATGTCAAGAAAACAGAGTTTTACAACTGGACCAATAGGTAACATCATGATGAATGGAGAAGAGACTGAAACAATCAACAGCTTTATCTTGCTTGGATCCACAATTATCACCCTTGGTATCAGAACTCAGGAAATAAGGAGACACATCACACTGGGAAAACCTGTAGTTAGGGACTTCTCCAAATTATTGAGGAGTAATGATGTCAATTTGAGGACTAAGGTGTGTGAGATTCAGCCCACATTCTTTCTGATCACTTGCTATGCAGCTGAGAGCAGGACAATGAATAGGGACGACAGAAGAAGAATTGATGCCTTTGAGCTGTGGTGTTGGAGAAGAGCACTGAACAGCCCATGCATGGCCAAAAAAACAAACAGATATGTCTCGGAGAGGGTGCGGCTAGAGTGCCCTTTGGAGGCTAAGAATAAAGTGGCTTTGCCTCACATACTTTGGGCATGTTGCTAGGAGGGGCTGTTCCTTGGAGAGGAACATGATGCTGGGAAGGGTGGAGGATCGGTAAAGGCGAGGAAGACCTTCAACCACCTCAACCAGGTAGGTGGATTGATACGGTGACTGCTGCAATGGGCTGTTGTGTGACAGGAAGTGTGAGAATGGCTCAGGACAGGACGGGGTTCAGCTCTTTTGTTCAGAGGGTCGCTCTGAGTCATACTCAACTCTACAGCATCTAGAACAACAATAATAATGGATCTTCTTTGCAACTTGAGGAGCCCTGGTGGCCTAGTGTGTTGCATGTCAGGCTGCTAACCCAAAGGCTGGAAGTTTGAGTCCACTTGCTGCTCTAAGAAAAAGATGGGCAGTCTCTCCCCTTAAAGACTGCAGACTCCGGCATCTGAAGGGGGGCTGCGAAGAGTCAGGCTGGATTTGTCAGCAGTGGGCTTGAGTCCTTCTAGGTGGTTGTGGTTGAGGAGAGTTTCAATTTGGGACAGAGATATGTTGTCGTTGTTGTTATGTGCTGTCGAGTCACTTGCGATTCATAGTGACCCTATGTACAACAGCCCTAAACCCTGCTCTGTCCTGTGCCAATCACACTGTCTCTGACACTCCCATCCTAATTACCCCAGTCTCTGAATCAATCCACCTCATAGAGGGCCTTCCCCTCCTGCGCTGTCCCTCCACCTTCCCAAGCATGATGTCCTTCTCCAAGGACCGGTCTTTCCTTACAACATGACCAAAGTGTGTCAGACAAAGCCTCAGAATCCTTGGTTGAATCTGTTTGTTTTCTTAGCAGTCCAAGATACCCTCAATACTCTTCTCCAGCACCAAAGCTCAAAGGCATCAATTCTCCTTCTATCCTCCCTAGTCACTGTCCAACTCTCTGATGTATAACAAGTGATAGCAAAGACCATGGCTTGTATCAGAGGCACCTTAGTCTCCAGAGAGACACCATTGCTCTTCAGTACTTTAGAGAGGTCCCTAACAGCAGACTTTCCCATCGCAATACATCTTTTAATTTCCTGGCTGCTGGTGCCAAGAGTGTTGATTGTGGAGCCAAGCAGACTAAAGCTGTGAACAATCTCAATCTCTTCACGATCCACCATTTCATTTTTCCAAAATTAATTTTCTTAAGGGAAAAAAATAAGGTGACTTGATTTAAGGGAACATATTAAGAGATCCTACAGGTGGCCTTCAGGTGGAGCAACAATTGAAAAGAAGCTGTTTAGTTTCTTGCTTTGATTGTTTTACTTTTGCGAAAGGCAGCTTGATGTGATTTTGAACCCAGAACAGCCAGGTGACCAGCCAAGACTTCTCTATTCCCCAGAGGAGTTTCACATCCTGTTTTATTCCTATAACGCCCTCACATGAACTACGGAAAAGAATACTGAGCTTAAGATATTTCAGCTAATGGAAAAGTGCCATTATATGCAGATTTTGTTGTATTTGTTCACTTTACTGCCATCTGCTGGGAAACTGTAATAATAAATACAGACACATGCAATGTCCTGGTGCTGTGCAAGTTCGTTATTCTGTGATGGCTTGCGTGTCCCTATGATGCTAGAAACTGTTCTTGGAAGGTGCCACTGAGTTGACTATGACTCACAGCAGTTTATGAGCAACAGAACTGAATCATGCCCAATTCTGTGCCATCATCACGGTCTCCACCGAGTCAAACCAGCTTGTTGGGAACGATGTCCTCTTTTACTAGCCTCTGTCTTTCCCAGTAGGACATCTTCTTCCAAGGACTGGCCCC